TTCCCTTTCAGCTCCCTGTTTGTGGCCTGGGAATGCAGTCGAGGATGGCCCAAAGCTTTGGGAGCCTACACCCATGTGGGAGGCCTGGAAGAAGCTCCTGGTTGCTGGCTTCAGATCGGCTCAGTTCAAGCCATTGTGGCTGAGCTGCTTGGGGAGTAAAGCAGCCGATGGAAGATCTTTCTCTCTGTCCCTCCTTCTCTCCATAATTTTGACTTTCCAATAAAAAAAAAAAAAACACTCAAACTCAAGGGAGACAGAAAGCACCAGAATTAGTACCCATGGGCCTAGGCTGTCTCAGGGTTCCTCTGGCCCAAAAGGGCGGGTTGCTGAACCCTGCTCACAGTGTTGCAATTCCACAGTACTTGGTCCAGCCCGCTACTCTGTGGCTCCCAGGAGGACGGCATACACAGCTTGCATATGCTGGACAAGTGAGTGAGACACACACAGATGCGTGGCTTTCCTCCTGCTGCTCAGAATGACAGGCAATTTCTTCTTTAAAAAAAAGGGGGGGGGGGCGGCAGAATTACAGAGAGAAAAGAAGACAGAGACAGAGAATCTGCCGTCTGCTGCTTCACCCCAAGATGGCCACCATGGCTGGAGCTGCGCTCAACCTAAGCCAGGAGTTTCCTGTCCCACGTGGGTGCAGGGGCCCCCGCCCTCGGACCAGCCTCGCTGCTTTCCCAGGCGCATGAGCAAGGGTCTGGGTCAGAAGCCGAGCAGCCGGGACTTTAACAGGTACCCCATGGGATGTTGGTGGTTTCACCTGCTGGGGTATGGTGCCAGCCCCAGAGTGGCAGCAATTTAGAACTGAATGTTTCTGGAGTTTTGCTTTGAATATTTTCAGGCCACCTCTGAGTGAAGCTGAAGACACACACACACAGCCAAACACGAAAAACAGTGCAGATAACCAAGAAGATTCCTGGAGAAGCCTAGAAAACTATTCCCCGACAGAAGCACCCACTTTTAGATGCCTCCAACATCTATGCTGGCACACGGTGGCTCTGCTAGCGCATGGCGGCAGCTCTGCTGGCACACGTGTTTGACCGGGTTGTACAGATCTGCCGTGTACCGGCAGGCACACAGAACCTGCCTCCTAGCTCGCGACCTTGCTGCCTCCTCTCCTCCCCCAGATAAGGCAGCTCCCGCCACTTAAGGGTTTTTTGGCAGCATTCCTGTTTGAGGGTTCTCGCTCGGGAGAGGTGCAGCTAAGGAGTGGCTCCTTGGTATTCACACGAGGTTTTCCCAGCCACCAGCAACAGGAGTCACTTCGCATCCCATGCCAGTCGAGGGCACAGGAGGAACCACCCCAAATCCCAAACTGTTGCTTCTGTGCCCACCTGCAGCACAGTCTGGCCCTCGTGTGACAGCTCAGGAAAGCAGGAGCCCTGGAGAGGGACCACGTGGCCATTGCCACCCCGAGTAGAGTTTTCTAAACCAGGCTTGGGAAGACAACCTTGTGGCTGTGTGCTGGGGGAGGCAGCTTTGCCTTGTAACTGGAACACACCTACACCGTTTCCAAGGAACAGCAGAGGCCGTGTGGGCTGGCCTGAGCCCGGGAGAGGAGGGGTGGACAGGGGCCTCTGCACTTCACGTACATGGCCTTGGCTGGCAATGCCACTCTCCTAAGCAGGGCAGGGGGCATGTTGGCAGCTTGAAGCTGGCCCATCTTGGTGGCATTTACACCACAGAAATCGGCACATGAGGCAGAAACATCCTCCCTCCCTTTCTCATGTTTTTTTTTTTTTTTTCCCAGTCGGTTCTAAACTTCTCTCCTACTGCCCTCATCCCAGTCCTCAAAGGGGACTTGCCTTCCTCCTGCAGCCCGCCAGCACTTGCCAGCCAGCTCTGCAAGGCCTCTCACCAGCACAGGTCAGGTCCTCGGCTCCAGGAGCTCCTGGAGAGTGCTCCCCATCTCCACCCTCCCTTCAGGCCTGGGACCAAGGGGAGTGCTGAGGGCAGGGCTGGAGGGCAAGCAGAGCTTGCAGGGACCTGGCCCAGGTGAGGGGGCAGGCAAGGGCAGCGTGCAGCGTATTCTCCAGTCAGGGGGTGGTGACGGGAACGGGGTACCTGGGACCCCAGTTTAGCCACCGGTTATCCACTGCGCGGGGCTTGGGGTGCCTCCCCGCTGGCTCTGCAGCCCTCACCTTCACTTTCTGCCTTGGTTGGCCACACTCCGCTGGAGAGCCGCTGTGTCTCCTGCACACCTAGCAGGCCCTCGGGCTTTCACAACTTCTTGTAGCTGGGCAAGCAATTTTCTGAAGCCTCTCATTTCCTCCCCTCCAGGTCTCCAGGTCCTACACAAGGAACCGCCCTCCCCCTGGCCGGAGAGTCCCCAGGGATCGCCTCAAACAGCCTCGCTGAATCCCTGGAGCATTCGCCCCAAGTCGGTGACGGGTTGTGTGCTTGTCCAAGCCCATCAGTGCATGCTGCTGACCATGGCAGAACCCGGGGACAGACAGGCCCCCAGCACCCGCCTGCACCTCACTTGGCAGTCTAGCTGTCATCCTTCACTGGCACAGCGTCCCCAGGGCAGCGGCTGACAGTGTAAAATCCATGTGTGTCTTGTATGTGTTGTATGTGTCACGTATGTTTCCCCTTTAAAGCACAGCAGTGCCATAGGACAAGGCTACAGTGACAGAGACAGAACAAAGCCCTTTCACGTAACCTGCCACCGTGAGCTGCTACACTCAGGACAGCCCATTTTGTAGGAGAACCTACTGTGCGCATTCAGAGTGAAGCAGAGGGTGGCACTCTCTCTCCGTGTGTTTCTGCCTTTCAGATAACATGAAAAAAAAAAAATCCATCGGCTAATTGTGAATCTGAAAGCGGGATTAGATTCACCTAACAGAAATATTTTTAAAGCAATAATTTCCAAAGATTAAAATTCCACTGCACTCATGTACAATAAAAACAAATGTCTTAGTAAGTGATGACAGACTGGGAGGTTGAGTGCTGAGCTGCCTGCCTGGCTGAGTATACGAGTGACAATGAGAGCAGGTGACACACGAGAGCTGTGCAGGGGTGCTGGCCAGGGAAGGGGGGGCTCCCTGTGGCCAGCCCCAGTGCTGGAAGCCGGGTGGGGGGGGGCGGCCCCTCCTACCAGGCCAGCCTGCCTTCTGTTCCAGCAGGATTGGGCGCTCTGTCTTTCCGTAGGATTTGCTGGTAGGGAGGGAACAGGGACGCCATGCTTCAGGCTGAGCGTGGAGCTGGCCGGGCCAGGGCTGGGCAGGAAGGAGGCTCCCCTGGAGGGAGGTGTACTCCTGCTGGCAGAACCACGTGGCCACCTGAAGGGCCTTGGGGTGTGTGCAGGGAGCAGCACTCTGGCACCCAATTGGCAAAGTCAGAGGTCAGTGGGGCCGGAGGAGGGGTCGTCCTGCCAGCTAGTCCCCCGGCCTTGCTGTGTGGGAAAAACTGCTCCATGGAACCCAGGCCCTGAGCTGGCTTGGCCCTGACACTGCACGTGTACCTTGTTATTAAAAAAAATTCTTTTAAATTAGAAAGGCAGATATACAGAGAAAAGGAGAGAGAGAGAAGAAGATCTTCTGTCCACTGGTTCACTCCCCAAGTGGCCACAACGGCCAGAGCTGAGCCAATATGAAGCCAGGAGCCGCCTCCAGGTCTCCTACATGGGTCCCAAGACTTTGGACCATCCCCACTGTTTTCCCAGGGCACAAGCAGGAAGCTGGATGGGAGGTGGAGCAGCCAGGAGATGAACCAGCAGATGGGATTCAGGCAGATGCAAGGCAAGGATTTTAACCACTAGGCTACCATGCTGGGTTCTGCACAAGCACCATGTAAAGCAGAGGCAAAGAATAGGTCTGACCCAGGGATCCCTAGATGCGGCAGGGGCGGAGGGATTCCAAGACACAGGCTGCCAGCTCACCACTTCTCATTCCCAAGTACCCCCAGTCCAGGAGGGACCAGCAGAAAGGGGGACTGCAGGGGAGAGGCTCCCCGCCCCTCAGTGCTTCTGAGGCCTGGGAGCCTGCAAGAGAAGCACCAGGCTTCTGCACCACACTAGGCCGGCCTCTCCAGCTGGGCTGGTAGGGCTGCTGCTCCCCGGGGACACTTGGATGGAAGTGGGCGGCTTGTCAGGCTCCAGTCAGCAGGGCTGCTTCCCCAGAGCCCGGCCCTGGCTTCCGTTTCTCTGTGACTGTCCCTCGGGCAGCCCCTCCTGCTACAAAGCCTGTCCCATCACGCCCACACTCCAGGGAACCTCGGATCGGTTCTGGCCTTGGCTGATTTGTAATCCCCATCAACCAGTTCGTGTTCCACGAAGATGCCCCTTTTCCTTGGTGGCGTGTTTAGGGACAGGGACGTCGTCACCTTATTTTGAAATGGTCCATAGTAGCACAGACTGTTTTCTGAAGCAAAAGAGGGACATTTGATTTACTAAATAAATAAATAAGCATCACTTGGAAGCTGACTGTGCTGACCAATCGAGAACCAGTAGCGGCCACGGGCACCTATGCGTAGCTTGGCTCAGTCCCCTGGGCATAGCGATGAATGAAGGAACGAACGGATAGCTGAATGCAGATGAATGAGTGAACGCGGACGCCGACAGGAAGCGGAGCTTGTCCCGGCCGCTGCGGGAGCGCCTCGGGCCAGGGGCCTGCGGTGGCAGCCGGGCTGCGGCCGGCAGCAGGTGCGCAGCAGCGGGGCCCGCGCCCGCCACCCCCGCCCCGCAGTGGTACGCGCCACTCCGCGCGCCGGGAGCCGCTCGACGCGAGCTGTCTTGAATGGAAGGCGCCGGGGCCGGAAGTGGAAGGGACCACTCGGCACAGTGAGGAGGGGAAACGCGAGCGCGCCGCCTCTTCATTGAGGAGCACAAGCGGTGAACATGGAGTTCCATGTGCGTCTTATGTAAAAAGAGTGACGGGTGCTTCCACCAATGGATGCGTGGCACACGCTGGTCCGGCCCCTTCAATATGCAGATGAGGTGGAGCCGCGACCAATGGGGCGCCGCGAGGGCGGGCACAGCGCGTTTGGTCACGTTTTCCACTATGTGAGAGCGACTAAGGCAGCCGGTGACCGGCTGACGGACCGCGGCTGAGGTGACTGAGGCGGCTGAGGGCTGAGGTGACTGAGGGCTGAGGGCCGCGGGCTGAGAGGGCTGAGGGCTGAGAGGGCTGAGAGGGCCGAGGGCTGAGAGGGCTGAGGTGACTGAGGGCTGAGAGGGCTGAGGGCTGAGGGTCGAGGGCTGAGAGGGCTGAGGGCTGAGAGGGCTGAGGTGACTGAGGGCCGAGGGCTGAGAGGGCCGCGGGCTGAGAGGGCTGAGAGGGCTGAGAGGGCTGAGGGCTGAGAGGGCTGAGGGCTGAGGCGGCCGGTCATGGACTTGGCAGTGAGTGGCACGGTGCCCGGGCGGCGGGGACGCGGGCGCTGTCGGCAGCCGCTGGCCTCTTACGTAACGGACTTGGGGGACCCCGACCGGCCTCGGCTTCGCGTCTGGGAGGGAGAGTCTGTGAGGTGGGCGGCGGTGTGCCCACTTGGCGGATTGGCAAACTGAGGTCCTCCCAAGAGGCTCGACCACCCCGGGTTGGGAGCTTGGCGGAGCCTCTTGGGGGCTTCGTCCTGACACCCCAGCCGTTCCTCCCCGAGCCCCCCGCCCCAGGTGGCCAGCCGATCACCTTGTGTGTATCCCCTGTGCCCACGTGGGGTGGGCACGGTCACTGCACGGCCGGCCGCCTCCTCCAGGGAGGCCAGGCTTTGCGTCAGTTACACAAAAGGAACCTGCGTGGCCATCTCACTGACACGCAGAGGCATGGGCACCCTGGGGCACGGAGCCCGCTGCTGGCGGGCACACCAGGGCAGGGCCTGGGCAGAGGCCCCTGAGGGCCTGCAGTTGGACGGGCACAGGGAAGAGGGCGGATCCCTGCCACCTGCGGGTCCCGCCCTGTGCTCAGAGGGCACCTGGGCTGGGTCCTGGCCCCGGGCAAGGACGGGTCTGCACGCGTGGTCAGAGGGGAATGCACGCATGCTCAGAGGGGTCTGCACGTGTGATCAGAGGGGTCTGCACGCGTGCTCAGAGGGGTCTGCACGCGTGGTCAGGGTCACCTGGGCTGGGTCCTGGCCCCGGGCGAGGACGGGTCTCCATGCGTGCTCAGAGGGGTCTGCACGTGTGGTCAGAGGGGTCTGCACGTGTGGTCAGAGGGTTCTCCACGCGTGCTCAGAGGGGTCTGCACGTGTGGTCAGAGGGGTCTGCACGCGTGATCAGAGGGGTCTGCACGCGTGGTCAGGGTCACCTGGGCTGGGTCCTGGCCCCGGGCGAGGACGGGTCTGCACGCGAAGGCTCTCCCCGAGCAGCGGGCGCAGTGCTGTGTGAGTCATCTCCCCACTTGGTGTAACTATCAGGAAGAAAGGGCCCCCCTGCTTCCAGAGAGAGCTGAGTGCTGGGCCGGCGGGGATGTGTCACTGTCGTCTCCGTGTGATTCAGCACAGCCCTGGCTGGTGCCAGCCGGCAGTGGGCACAGCACAGCCAGGCTCCTGGTGCTCTGCTTGGGGCCCCTGTGGCTTGCAGAGGAGTTCCCCCCTCGACGGGAGGCAGGGACGGGTGAGCGTCCCCTGGGGAGGCCCAGCTGCACACATGGACGTGTCCTGGAGGCCGCCCCTGTTTTGGTGCTTCCGTCACCGTCGCAGGCTCCGCTGGGCAGGGATGGCTGCCCGGGCCTCTTGGCGCTTAGTCACAAGGAAGCGTCAGGCCTGATGCTGATAACTGACCTGCGTGCCCAACCCTGGGGTCCTGTGGAAAGGTGCCCACCTGCCCACTCAGGGCAGCACCGGGGCAGGGGCCTCTGCTGGCCTTGCCTCCACGCCTGAGGGCTTTCCTTGGGACATGGCCTCATTTCAGGTGCGTGTTCATTGTGTGCGTGTTTAGCGCCAGCCGTGGCAGGGGCCTCTGGCGCAGTGGGAACGAGGTGCCCGGGGCTGCCATCCATACCTGAGCCGCTGACATCAAGGCCTGGCTCCACACCCGACCCCGCCGGCTGCCCGTGCTCGGCTGCCTGGCTCCAGCCCTGCCTGGCCCTGGCTGTGTCGGGCGCTGGGAGAGTGGAATAGCAGGTGGACACCTCTGCCTCTGCTCTCTCTCTCTACCTTTCAGAAAATTAAGACCTGAGTTAGAAATTTGCTGCCGTGGTTCTGAGTGCAGAGCAGAAGGGGCACAGGGAGGGAGTGCATGCTGGGGCCAGGGCCGCGCGTGGCAGTCTGCAATTCCCCAGCAGAGGGGGTTGCCGTGTGCCCTTGAAGGGCTCTGTCCTCCTGAGAGGGACCGAGCTCTGAGTGCCCGAGGGAGCAGTGCTCGGTGCAGGAGAAGCCGCTTCCTGCAGAGCCGCCCCAGCACCCAGACCTGGCGCAGCCGAGCCCCCTGCAGCTGGACAAGGACTGGCCTCGCGGCCCGCTGCTGCTCCGCGCTGGGGGCCCTGCTCACATTTTCCTGCGGTCCAGCCGTCGCCATGGAGAGCACGGCTGTTTATTCAGCAGGACAAACATTTTCTCCAGATTACAGCAGGCTGGCCTCCAGGAGTTGGCTCCTACCAGGAAGCAGGAAACGTGGTTAACATTTGGGTTGTAAAACACCGCCCTGCCAGCTGTGATCCCTGTTACGTAAAGTTACAAAACAGGGAGGATAGGCCAGGCTGGGGGACTTGGAGGGTGTGCAGTGTCCTGCTGTTCATGTGGGTGCGGGTCCCATGAGCCGACAGCAGGCCTGGACCTTCCAGGGAGAGCTTCCTGGGCCCTTCTAGGCCTTTCCCTTTGGCTGCCTTTTGGTCAGTTTTCCACAGGAGACACGCTGCTCTGTGGGGCAAGGCCGTTGGGTCCCACAGTGCCATGAAGCTGTGCTTTCCGTGCCCTGGTTGTGTTCTGAGTGTCTGTGGATAGGGAGAAGGTGCTGGAATGCCCCTCCCCGCCAGCCATTTCCTCCCTGTGGGCCCAGGCTCCAGGAGGTCGTGTTTTCTGAATGTCCTTGTGTCTGCCAGCCACGTAGCAGGGGGGTGTCCAAGAGCCCACTCGGGGATTTGAGCATAACCCCTGTTTAAGTCCAGCTGTTCTCACAGGCAGAGCCCAAGGACGCAGGTGCACGGGGAGGGCGGGGCTGCAGGGGCGGCCCCAGCTTCCCACAGCCCCTCACAGCCAGGCTGCCCTGGCCCCTGTGGGCTTGTGCTAAGTGCTTCTCCCTCTAAATACAAGCGAGGATTCCCTGTCTCTCTGTGAGACTTGTGCTGCCCCATCTGCCCCTGCGGTGACACATGGTGGGCAGTCCGTGCTTGCCACCTCACTGTGCCACCTCAGCCAGCGGGAGACAGGCACTGTCATGGGTTAGGTGCTCCCTAAGATGGGTGAGGTGCTTCCCACTGTGAGTGAGATGCGTGCCGTGGGTGAGGTACTCCCTGTCTTGGAGGATGCTCCTTGCTGTGGGTGAGGCGCTCCCCACCATGGGTGAGGTGCTCCCTATCTTGGAGGAGCTCCCCGCGTGAGTGAGACCCTTCCTGTCATGAGGGCAGGGAGAGTGAGTTGCAGAGAGACTGAGGAGTCTGGCTGAGGTCACACAGCTGGACAAGCCTGGACCCAGGCGAGATGCCCGCCCCCAGCGCTCTGCTGCTGCCTCCAGTGGGCATGCTGACCCGCTCAGAGCAGGAAGGCCTGGCTGCTTGTCGGGGGTGGGAAGGTGGGGCCCCCAGGGCGGGAGGGGAGGCAGACGAGGGAGGCCCTTGGCTCCCGAGAGGGCTCCCTGTCCCTGGCCACCCTGCCCAGATGTTGGGCCTAGTGTGTGTCAGGGCCACACGCGCACACACACAAGCTGCCAGTGGCTCCCTTCACTTGGGGCAAAGCCAGCCGTGCCTCTGCCCTGCCAGGCACTTGGTGATCCGGCCGGCTCTGCTGCAGCCTCGTGCACGCAGGCCTACTCCCAGTAGGACCCTGGTTCCCACTGTCCCCTCCCTGCCTCGGGTCTGTCTGGGTTTGAGTTCTCACCACAGCAGTGTGAAGCAAGGTGTGAATGCCGGTGTCATCCTGGCGTAGCAGAAGGGAGGAGCGGAAGGGAGGCAGCAAGCCCCAGACGCGCACACACCGGAGGGCCTCACTGGCCATGCTGGAGGACCCGCTGGCCGTCTGCCTCTTGGGGTCCTGTCAGGAAGGGAGGGAGTGCCCCCACACAGCCGGTACCCAGAGCACTGGGAGCGGAGTGACTCCCAGCTTCCCCCATCTCCTGGGGTCAGAGTTCACCCCGGAGAGCAGGCTCTTCCCGTCACGGGGGAAGCGAGGGCCCATGCGCTGACAGTGCTGCTGCCTCTGGTGTGCAGCCAGGGGCAAGCGTGAGGAAGGAGCAGCTGGCCGCCGGCATGGGGGACTGAAGTCCACGGGCTTTGTCCAGCACCTGCGGTACCTGAGCCTTCCCTGGGCACCCGCTTCCCCATAGCGCCTACGTGATTTCCCTGCTCTGTCTGCTCTTGCATCGCACGCGCCTTGTGTCTTCCCCTTAAGGCAGGAATGTGTTTGTCCTACCGTCTGCAGGAGGCAGTGAGCAGGTGAGCGGAGACCGGATGTTGGGGAGCAGCACCAGCCGTGTGAAGGGCCCTCTTACTGCTCTGGCACCTAGTCCATGGTTGTCCTATAGTCCCTGAGCAGGGTACTCGGTGCCCTGCAGCGTGATGGCCTCAGTGGCCTTGACTCACTCCTCCCTCAGGAGTGGAGTAGACCATGCCAGTGCTGAGGGGAGGCAGGGAGGTGACATCTTATCAGGGTGCCTGCAGTGAGGGTGCCGGACACGAAGGGCACCGAGTGCAAGGTCTCTGGAGGCCACAAGGCCAGGGCAGGTACAGGACACTGCCGGCCGGTGGGACCCAGGCTGTGTGTGCCAGGGCCGTGCTCCGGGCATCGGCCTAGTGAGGATGGCTTTACCTTGCCAGACCCCCTCACTGCTCTGCTGAGCACAGCCAGGCCAGGTGGAGGCAGAGGCCCCAGGTGGGGCTGAGGCTGCGCCTCCCCAGGTGGTGGTCACACTGTGACCAGCCTCCTGCCAGAGGGCTTTCCAGGGCTCTGCCATTGCACGCCCACTTGTTGGGTACACGTTTCTCTGCCTTCAAGTCAATATAGCGAGACTATATTTATTTATTTTTAAAGATTCATTTTATTTATTTGAGAGAGTTACAGAGAAAGGGAGAGACAGAGAGCTCAGATGGTCGCAAGGTCCTGGGCTGGGCCAGGCTGAAGCCACGAGGTAGGAGCTTCCTCCATGGCTCCCACATGGATGCAGGGACCCAAACACTTGGGCCATATTCTCCTTTCTCAGGCACTAGGAGCTGGGTTGGAAATGGAGTAGCAGGGACTTGAACCGGTACCCGTATGAGATGTTGGCACTGCAGCCAGTAGCTTAACTGACTAAACCACAGCAGTCTGGGAGACTGTTATTACACCGGCCTGCAGCAGAGGCCTCTGTTCTCGACCAGCAGTCAGTCCTGTGACACTTGGTAGCCTGCAGAAATAACCTTGTCCTTCGCTCTTGGCTGATACCAGGGTTGGTCCTTCCACGTGTCCCTTTGCCCTGCTTTGTCCTTGGCTCCAGCTGTGTCCCTCTGTCGCAAGGGTGGCAGGGGTCTGCCACATTGGCTGGCATCCTCGGGAGCAGTTAGGTGCTGGCGCCGCCCTCAGCTTCCCTTACATACACATTACAGCCACAGGCAGTGCTGTATGCTGCCAGGCACTATGGGGACCCTTCGGGCTTTCCGCAGCTGTGGACATGTGGCATGACCGCTCCCCTGTCAGTACTCCAGTCTCCAGCCATTTCATGGGGACTGGAGGAAGAAGAGGCGAGAAATGTGTCTCCCCGCATTCTGCCTTGGGGGTGGGGAGGGAGACCGAGCTACCCCCACATAAGAGGAACAGTGCCACGCCAGCCTGTCAGTGCACGGCATGAACGGGGCGTGGAATCGGGGTCCTTCCTGTGAGGGCTGGGCTGGAGACCAGCACACCTGCTGGCACAAGTTGTACAAGGCTGTGCTGCCTGTGGCCTGTGCAGTGGTCATGCACTGGTGCCAGCCAGGTCTGGCTGCACCCTCCCAGCCATCCCAGCCCCACCTCTGCCAGCCCCAGTCTGTTCAAGGAGCGTGTAGAAGCCACAGAGCCCCTTCTGTGTTCTGGGGACCTAGCCAGAGACAGCAGGCCGTGGCCTCCCAGGGGGTGGGCAGACTGCAGGGCAGGAGGATAAGCAGAGGCTATATTCTGGGGCCTTGGGTCCCTCCATCACTCACCCCTTTGCCAGCCACTGCAGTCCCCACAGCCACACCTGCTGGAACCTTGCTGGGGACATTGCCCAGGTCCTCCTTATTTGACCTAGTGGCATGTAACAATCCCTGGGTCTCTTGATGGGCCCATGTCCCATGCCCAACCCAGCTTTCCCACTGTGCCTTCCAGGGTCAACTGTGGAGACCTTTCCTTTGTCAGCCTGTCCCCAAAGCACTAACATTCAAGCTCCCAGCTAATTTGTACAAGGGCAATGTTGGGGACCTGGTCCCCAGGGTACCTCAATGGTTGCCAGCCATTTTCTGGGCACGCTAACGCTGCCTTGCCACTGTGCTATTCCATTGTGCACACCTTCTAATGCATGAGCCCCCAGCGCTGGACCATGCCTCATGGAACCTCATTGTCCAGGCTCCCTGTGGCTGTCGCTGTGCTGCAGTACCCAAGACCTCCCTCCCTGGGGGGGCCATAGATGTACCCTACGTCCTGCCACTTTTCTGGGGGACTCAGTATTCCTCCCAAAGCTCCCTGTGCTTGGGGAGTACCATTCATACTCTGGGGTGCCCTCTTTCAGGCTGAGGCCACCTTGTCCTCCGGTGTCCTGTTATGCTGTCACAGGCAGCTGGGTCAGCAGGGACAGGCCCGTGTCCTCTGCGTGACCAGTCCCAGCGGCCCTGCTCTGTTGGGTAACTGCACTGCTCTTCCTGGTGGCTCTGGGGGCCTGTGCATGCTTGTTTCAGTGCTGGACAACTTTGCTCCCATTTTCCAGGTTGATTCGGGAGCCCAACATGAATGGCTACATGGAATTCCGTCCCAGCCCTGGTCACCCCCACCTGGAGCCCCTGGAGCCCCAGCCTGCCCAGGCTCCTCTCCAGGAAGACATGGACATGAGCAGCGGCTGCAGTGGAAACGCAGCCCATGAGAACTGCTCCACGGGGCAAGGCTTGCGTGGCAGCAGCAAGGAACTGGGCATGGTGCTGCAACAGCCGGACGCCTGTCACGGGTAGGTTCAGCTCTGGTCACCCCAAGGGTGGCTGTAGGCCTCCTGTGTGTCATTTCCATGGGGGAGATGGACTCTCCTGTGTTGCGGGTCTGCATTTCCCAATACTTGGCTCTCAGGAAACTAAGGGTTTTGTGTGTTCCTGTGCTCCCTGCCTGGCCCAGGCAGTGCAGGATGGACCTCTAGTCGCCTGAGCTGTGCTTTCTCTGCTTGTTGTCACAGTCCCGCTGCCTTCAGCCTCATGATGGCAGAGTCTGAGCACAACCCCTACAGCAGCGGCTGCAGGTAAGCCCCACCTCCCTGAGCCTTCCACGTGTGGGGAGACCTGCAGTTGTGGGTTTGCTTTCTCAGAGTGATATGACTTTTGAATCTCTGTGCAAGCCCATTAGCCTGCACACTTTATCCACGGGTGTCCATCCAAGTGTCCCTATAGCCTGTGCACTGTGTCTGTTGGTGACCAGCTGAGTGTCCCTGTAGCCTACACTCTGTCCGTGGGCATCCAGTTGAGTGTCCCTGTAGCCTGCACACTGTGTCCCTGGTGTCCAGCTGAGTGTCCCTGTAGGTGACTCCTGGGGCTCCTGCCAGCTTGACACCTTGCCTGAGTCTTGGACATATTTGTCTGGAACATTTTTTGCCCATCTTAGTAGTTAGTGACCACTATACCATTTCCATGTCACCTCTGAGGCAGATCCAGCTCATAGTCCTGAGTCCTCTCTGCTACCTGCACCCATCAGCAAGTGCCAGCTGCCCTGTCTTCCCCCCAGACATGTCCTTATGCTTGAAGACCCTTCTCAGAAAGCCCCTAGCTCTCCCCTGAGCTCATGGTCCACCTGTGTGTCCCAGGGAGTTGCTATCCTGGGGTTACCTATGCCTCCAATCCTTTTCTTGATGATGCAGTTTTTCGACCAGGGTGTGTAGACCAGAATCTCTTCATGGGTGTAGTTTTAAAAACAAAAAAACACTATTTATTTGGATAATACTTATTAATTTGAAAGGTATAGTTACAGAGAAAGAGGGGGAGAGATTGTGCATCTGCTAGTTCACCCCAGATGTCCACTGCAGCTGGACTAGACTGAGAACGCCAGGAGCCTACAACTCCATTCAGGTCTCCCCCAAAGGTGACAGGGCCACCTTCCCCTGCTGTCCCAGGTGCATTTGCAGGGAGCTGGATCAGAAGCAGAGCAGCTGGGACTTAAACTGTTGCCTGCGTGGGATGCTGACACTGCAGGTGGTGGCTTAACCCTCTGTGTTGCACAGTGACTGCAAAGTCGCCTGGCAGTGCCTGCAGCCTGTGTTGACTGCTGTAGCTGGTGAGGGAGCTCCTGCCTGCAAAGGCTGAGACTGATATAGACCTGCTGAGAGCCCCCCAGACACACTGCCCGGCACGTCTCCTCAGGAGGGGAAAGCAGGGAGCAGCGTTTCATGTCTCTCTCTGTCTTGCATTCCACAGTAGTGAGCAGTCTGCCAAAGCAGACACACACCAGGAGCTGATCAGAACACTGAAGGAGCTCAAGGTCCACTTGCCAGCGGACAAGAAGGCCAAGGGCAGGGCCAGCACCCTGGCCACCCTGAAGTACGCCCTTCGGAGTGTGAAGCAGGTGAAAGGTGCGGTCCCCGCGCAGCTGTGCAGACCCCCGCAGCACACTCTACCCCGCGCCCCCAAACTGCAGCTCACTCATTCCTCAGTCAGTAGGAGGAGGTGCCACAGTCTGACAAGGCCACGGGGGCTGAAAGTCTCTCAAGGTAGACAACGAGGGGCACAAGGTGTCTACAGCACAGACCTGCCATAAAGCTGGTGGGCTCTGGCCAGAGCCTGTTCAGGAGTTCTGGGCTCGGGCAGGAGTTGGGCAAAAACAGAGCACTGTGCTAGCCCTGTCAGCATGCAGGCACAGTGAGGGGGGCATGCCCCAGCCCACACCTCCAGGCACTGAGCCCCCATGGAGCCTCACACGGCCCTGCTCACACTGTCCTGACCCGTGGTCGCTTCAGCCAGGCGGGAATTGCCACCCCCTCACATGCACAGCTGGGAGCTTAGACACTGCATCCCATTGGCTGTGTGCTTGGTGGCAGGGTAGGAAGGAGCTGTTGGTGCTGGTCAGTGGTGAGCTGGACCAGTACTTCATGTGAGGGGCACGTGCAGAAGCCCTGGACCATATACAGCAGTTGGTAGGCATGCACTGCTGGCCCCACGTGCCACCACACCACCCAGCTCAGCTGCTGCCCTAGCCCACAGAGCACAAGTCCTGTTAAATCCCTCCTGAGCCTGGGTCACCCTCCTGCTGCTGCTCTTCCTCCAGGCAGAGCCCATGCCTGCGGATCTCGGGTCCATGACAGGTGGAGCCTGCTGCCCTCCTGAGTTCCTCACAGTGCCATGTGCATCCTCTCTACAGCTTATGACCCCCCCAGGCACCTGCTCCGTCCTCCCTACAGCCCACGGCCCCCATGCTCCTGCCACGTCCTTCCTATGGCTCATGGCCCCCATGCTCCTGCCCCGTCCTTCCTATGGCTCACGGCCCCCAAACATCAACTCCTCAGTGGAGTTGATCCTTGGGCATCTTGTTGGAACAAGAAGGGGTGCCTGGTAGCAGAGTCAGTGCCCCCCCCCCAACTGTTGGCAGCTGTGTGAGCACTCCCTCTTTGGACTAGTGCCCTTGTTCCTGCGTTCCTCACACTCATGTGCTGGGGCCTGCTTGATCCTGCACATAAAATCGGAATGAAAGTAGATAAAAGGCTGAGATGAAGGCAGGTGCATGAGAGGGGCTGTGCAGACACTGGATCAAAACATCTCCATATTGTTCGATGTTGGAAAGACTTGTTTTGCAGGAAGCAGTGCTCCGTCCCTGGCCCTGCGTACCCTCGGATGTAGTGGGAGGGTAGCCTTACTGTGCCCCCAGTGGGTGTCCTTTGCAGCTCATTTCTCTGCATGTTTCTCCCTGAGCCACTTGTCCATCGGTGGCAGTTAGGACTGGTGGAGCAGTCCTACGTGGCAGGAAGCCACAGAGGAACACAGGGCCCCTACATAGAAGGCCAGCTTGGGGCTGCATGCCTGTGTGGCTGGAAGGAGTCGCCAGGCCACTCTGCTCTCTGATGCCTGGCTGTGGCATCTGGAAGCTGCCAACTTGAGGCAACACAGCAGTTGTGTCTTGATGGGGGGTTGGGGGTGGCAGACAGGAAGCGGGAAGGTGCAGCTGTGGCCTGAGGGCCTCCCTGGCATGGCCTGGCACGTCTTATGTCTCTGAGGGCCTGCCTCCTGGTGCTCAGAGCCCAGTGTGGGTAGCCCAGAGCCCCAGAGGCTGAACCAGGGATGAATGGGCAGGTAGCTAGCATGGCTTGCCCTTTGGCTCTCTGCCTTGTGCTTTCTGGGTGCACTCTCTCCTGATAGAGAGAGCAGGTGGGAGGGCACAAGGCTCAGGTGTGGAGCCAGCCACTGTGGTCCCATGCAGAGCTGTCTGGGGGGCACTCCAAGGCCAGGCCCTGTGCACAGAGGGCTCTGGAGAGCTGTGGGCTGTTGGAGGAGCACGTCTGTCATCTGAGGACACTTTGCCATCAGAGGCTTTCTGTCAGGAGAGAGGGTGGCTCCCGTCTGTGGGCTTTGCCCTCACCTGCTGAGCATCTGGATCCCAGAAAGACTCTCCATGACTGTTGGAGAATTGAGCCCCGGCCTGTGAGGTCCCCCTGGGCTGTTCCTGCTGAGTGCAAGCCCCTTTCTCCACAGCCAGCGAGGAGTACTACCAGCTACTGATGTCCAGTGAGAACCAGCCGTGCGGGCTGGACCTGGCTTCCTACAGCGTGGCCGAGGTGGAGAGCGTCACTTCTGAGTTCATCGGGAAGAACGGGGTGAGTTGCTTGGAGGAGACGCATTCTCCATGTGGGCAAAGCACAAGGCTGCAAGGATGAAGTGTCAGAGAAGGGGCGTCAGGGTCCAACGTGTGCGGCTGTGGCCCACTTCTGCCTCCACTGGGAGTGTGGGGTTATCGCCCAGCTGACTGCAAACCCAGCTGAGACTGAGCAGGGGTTGGGCTTGGGGCAGAGACACACTTGGCCATGACTGTGAGGAAGGGGCTGGGATCAGATTCAGAGACTGTGTTTGAGTATCTCCCGACATGCCAGAGTGCTGACCATGTCGCAGAAGGAGCCCCAGCGTTCCCCTGCTGACTCCTGCAGCTCTGCCCAGGGAGGCCCTGACCCAAGCCTGAAGGGGGCGAGCCTGTGTTGGGCCGGGGGCGCTAGGCAGAGGCAGCCTGATGTTACTGAGGAGCCCTGCAGGTTGTCTGATGCTATGTTTAATGGAGCAGGGAGAGTGGCTTCGTGCTGGGCGTGGCCCAGGTGTCGCCTTCCTCCATTGGGCACGCTCTTTTTCCCTAGGACATGTTCACTGTGGCTGTGTCCCTGGTCACTGGGAAGGTCCTGTACATCTCCAGCCAGGTGGCATCCCTGTTCCACTGTAAGAGGGACACCTTTCACGATGCCAAGTTTGTGGAGTTCCTGGCCCCGCATGATGTCAGCGTGTTCCACAGCTCCACCACCCCTTACAAGCTGCCGGCTTGGAGTACATGCAGCCTTGGAGGTGAGGTCCCTGCAGTCAGGCCTACTCCACAGAAGGGGGTTGCAGGTGCTTCTGCTGGGTGAACCTGGGCTGTGGGGCGTGGGAGGGAAACTGCCAGCCCTTCCCATGTCAAAGGTACTAGGGAAAGAGGTGTCAGTCTCCTCAGAGAGAATGCAGAGAAGGGAAGACTGTTAGTTTCAAAGTGGGAAAGATTTCCGGAAACATTGGGTGCCTGAAATACAGTTGCTGTCAGGTTGGTGTCTTGGTGGGGGATGGGCAAGAGTGGGAGTGAGGTGCACAGGTGCCACAGGTGAGCAGCTCTTCAGCCCGCAGCCACAGTGAGCAGAGACAGCCCTTGCCAGGCTGGTGTCCCCAGAACCCTGGGCCTTAGCCAGAAGTAGCAGAGTGAGGTTCTCTGGGCTTACATCACTCACTACCCAGGCTGCCCTACCCCGTGTCCTGCAGTCCAGCCCCTCTGCTAGGCCAGCGCACTACAGTCCCGGGAGCCAGTGTATGGCGTGGCTGCCCCAAACCTCTACCTGCGCCCACTGCCCACTAGCTCTGCAACTCCCCCTTCCCTCAGCTTGGAATTTGCTGTTGGGGGGGGGGGGGTTGGGAGGCCGGCCTTCGGGCGGGGGAAGTGAGTGCTGAGCGAGATGAATGACTTTGCTGGAAAGATGAGGTCTCCCCTCATGAGGCTGGGTGAGTGCCCGGAGAGCAGGTGCCCTCTTCAGCTGCCTCATTCACGCACATGCATGCCCCACTGCTTGCTGCTGTGTGCTGGGGCAGCCAGAGGAGCCCGGCACAGCCCCCTGGCATGTGTCAGGCTGCCCAGCCCTGGAATCTTGTTTTTCTAAGTCACCCAGCCACGGGAACCTCGTTACAGGATGGGACGGGACCAAAGAGGGCACCAATAAATGGGCATATGCCTGGAACTTTGGGGGCAGCTTTGGCATTGGACAAGGGGCAGCGGCCAGAGCAGCTGTGAAGTGAAGGAGGGGAGAGACCTGAGCATGAAGGGCAATTCTAGGGGGCTCAGAACGTGCCCCTAGGGTGAAGCTGCTTCGTGGGTACCAGCCCCTTCTATCCGAGAGCAGTGACGTGAGTCCCAGCTGCTCCCCTTCTGGTCCAGCTCCCACTCATGCACCTGGAGGTGAAGAGCCAGATGGCGTTCCCAGCCTGGCCCATTCCCACGCCTGGCTGTTGCTGATGTTAAGGGAGTGAACCAGCGCTTGGAAGATCTCTTTATTCCTTTGTCTCTGTCACTCTCCCTTTCAAATACATAAATAAATATGTTTTTAAATAAGAGAATACAAGGAAACGGGTCAGTGATGATGGGGGCTTCTCCAAGACCATGTGTGTAGTCATGCCTAGAATGCTGGTCAGATGGGGCCAGAGGGACACGCCAGTGGCGCGTCAGGAGGAACTGTGGGGCGCCTGATTTGGAGCTGGGACGAGGGCTGGTGGGTCCCTGTGCAAGCCCTGGGGTTTAGGGGTGAGTGACCCGTGAGATTCCTGCAGGGAAGGGTGCCTGGACGCCCTGTGGCCCACGGTAGTTTGATGCACAGCGAGGTGAGGACAGAACGTGTTGTGTTGACTTCAAGCTTCCAGCTAAGAGGGGGAGCTTGAGCAGGAACGTTGGGAGGTTTGTGGCTGTGAGAGCTGGGAGGATTACAGCTGGCAGAGAGCAGGGGCCTGTTCACCAGGCTGGGGAGGCATTTCTGAAACCTCCTGCTGTCCCTGCCAGCGCAGTGCCCACATGAGAGCCCAGGGACAAGAAGGACTGCTGCCCACAGTGCCCTGAGCTGCTGCCCACGGTACAGCTCTGCTGCCCACAGTGCCCCAAGCTGCTGCTCACAGTGCCCTGAGCCGCTGCCCACAGTATAGCTCTGCTGCCCACAGTGCCCAAGCTGCTGCTCACAGTGCCCTGAGCTGCTGCCCACGGTACAGCTCTGCTGCCCACAGTGCCCGAAGCTGCTCCTCACAGTGCCCTGAGCTGCTGCCCACAGTACAGCTCTGCTGCCCACAGTGCCCCAAGCTGCTGCCCACGGTACAGCTCTGCTGCCCATGGTGCCCTGACCTGCTGCCCACAGTGTCCCAGGTACTGTCCCCCTCCGTGTGAGGTCACAGCCTTGGCAGGGGCTGTGCAGTACTAATGCTGCTGGCAAGGCAGGCAGGAGGCAAGCAGTTTGGAGGCGTGGCTTCACCCATTTCGATGTCCTCAATGTCCAAGGAAACCTACCACAGAGACGGACTGCTTGGAGTCCCCACGAACACCCCACAGGGCCCTGGAAGTAAGACCCCTGCTGAGGAACCCAAAGCAGCAGAGCATCTGGCGGAATGCATCACATCTGGGGAAGCTGCAGGCATGTGTGTGCAAGTCCCCTGCTGAGCGTCTGGAAAGACTCAGCCCAGCCCCAGGGTGCTCGGGGGCGGAGTGGGCAGTGAGCCGTCCTGCTCTAGCCAGAAGACCTACCCTCTGGGCTCTGTGATGCTGCTTCTGTCTGGTTCTCCACTAATGCACCTTGGAAACCAGCAGAGGATGGCATAAGTACTTGGGTTCCTGTCCCACGCGGGAAACCTCAGTGAAGCTCCTGGCTTCTGGCTTCATCGTGGCCCAACCACGAGCACTGGCCATTTGGGGTGTGAGCCAGCAGATGGTAGAGAGAAGAGACTGGGTGTAGTTGGGTTTCACACTTGTTCGAGGCTTGTCACTTTTTCCTTCCTGCTTCCTGGAAGGATAGTTGGTTTTGTAGGCCTGCTGCTGGACTCTGCACTTTCCAGTGGTGCTGGCACCAGGCCTAACTTTGGGGCTGAGCAGAAGGGAGCTTGCCGTTGGCACAGTGAAAGGGCAAGCAGCCTGGACCAGGGCGGAGTGTGAGGCCTGAACGTGGCTCCTGCTCCACTGAACATACTCGCATTTGCTTGCCAGGGTGGCCACGCGGGAAGGTGGTTGGGTCAGTTCATGGGTTTAGTGCCTTTCCCAGAATATTTCAGGAACTGCCTCTTTGTTCTCTGTCTTCCTTGTAGCCCCTTACCCTCTGCTTCTCTCCCTTCTACCACCCTGGCTCCCCTCTGAGCTTTCCCACGCCTTTGAACTTCCAGCGTCTGTTCTCTGCTGCTCATGCGGTCTCTGGGACTTTGTCATAGCTCAGAACACAGACACCTCCACACTGAGGGGCATTCAGCACGCCCATCTCCATCCCAAACAGCCCCAGCCACCCTCCTGCTCATCTGGCCTCAGGCTCTTGAGCTTAACGTTAGTGTGTGTTGGGCCCAGGCAGCCAGCAAAAATTCCCTTTGAGGCCCCTCCTGGGCCCTGGCTGCTCAGAGCTGACGTGGAGCTGAACAGGCTGCGAGGAGCCAGGGGAGGAATCCAGGACACGGACAGGGCTGGGAGTCACCACATGGCTTGACCTCAGGATCTCGACTTGGCACCATGGTGGGCTGCCTTGCCGAGCTCCCCAGCACTCATCCTGTCCAGCCTGGGTTGGGCTCTAGCAATAGGCCCTGCACCCTGTTCCCATCCAGTTGGCAGCAGACGCGAGGAAGGACTTGGGCTGCTTGTGCGCACAACGTGTTATAGGCTCACCGGAGAAGTAGAGCCTTGCTTTTCATTGCAGATGGGAACACCTGCTTGCTGCAGAAGTTCCAAGCCAAGAAGTGTCTGGTCAGCGGCTAGTGCCTGTGGGCCTGACCGTGCTGGGCTGCTGCGTGGAAGGGACGTGGCCATGCAGGAACGTGTGCAGCCAGCACGCTGTTCCCATCTCCCCCAGTCAGTGCCGAGTGAACATCTGCATGAAGAGAGTCAGTGTGTCACTAGAGACATTCCCAGGCTGCTGTTTCAGGTCACTGCACTGCCGCTTGTTTCTGTGCAATAGAGGAAGCCTTTTGTGAGAGGTCAGGGTATAGGATTTTCTTCTAGGGCCTAGCACAACGGCTCAGTGGCTAAATCCTCACCTGGCAAGTGCCAGGATCCCATATGGGCTCCACTTCTGATCCAGCTCCCTGCTGTGTCCTGGGAAAGCAGTAAAGGATGGCCCAAAGCTTTGGGACTCTGTCTCGGGAGTTTCCTGGCCAGCAGGCGCCGAAACCACCACAGGGGTGAGGTGACGCATTTCTCAGCAGCACAGACCACCAGAGACAGACTGCTTGAGCATGTCTGTTTATTGTAAAGCAGGCAGAAGCTTATCTAGACTAAGGGGAAAGGCAGAAGGGTGTCTCCTGACAGTCCTCCCACCCAACAGTGACACTGTTATTGGCTAGAGGGCATGTCTATCTCTCTGAACCCTTCAGTCAAGTCACAGGTCACATAAAACACACACGGCCAGCAGGTATGTCTCAGGTCACATTCATGTGTGCCTGGCAGGTACACTGTGGATTACACTTGACTTCTCAGAGCTGCTTGTCAAGGAAGTCTCAGCACAGCTTGTCTAAGGATAGAGAAGAGAAGCTGGGGTGCATCCCACTGCTCTTGCCTGTATAATCAGTAATGAGGTCAGGTTGAGGTCTCGGTGAGCCAAGACCACTGCCAGGGGGTTCCCCTGGGGACACAGTGTGCCATGGCTTCATGACCTCCTACATAGGCCAAGCAGACAGAGATCCAGGGGTGATCTCCCACACCCTGCCACCTGCATGGCGGACCTGGAAGAAGCTATAGATCAGCTAAGCTCTGGCTATTGCGGGCACTTGGGGAGTGAGCCAGTGACCTTTCTGTCTCTCCTTACTCTGTAAATTTGCCTTGCCAATAAAATAACTATTTTTTTAAAATGAAGATTTTCTTCTAGAAACATTTCTTTCAACACTTGGGCCCTCCTTCCCGAGGGTTGGCCGGTGGACCTCAAGTTTTTAGGAGACACTGGACGCTCTGAGTGGCTTGATGTCTCACCCGAGGATTGGTGTGGCATTTGGAATGACTGAGTATCCCCAAGTCTGCAGCTTCACGTGTTGGTCTATACCCGGTGGCTGGTCATCTTCCAGCATGCAGCTGGCAGCGTCACGCTCCTGGCCGAGAGGACATGCGCAAAGTAACGAGAGACTCTGAGCCATGGCCTTCCCTGTGTCCAGTGCCACTGTCTCTGTCCCCTCACCGGTCTGTGCAAGCTGAGGGTGCTGGCTAGGAGGCTGACCTTGACCCCGGCCTTTCTCTCCTAGATGCCTTCACTCAGGAGTGCTCCGCAGAGAAGTCTTTCTTCTGCCGGGTCAGGTAAGCCCACCTTCAGGTGGGAGCAGGGCAACAGACACTGGCTCTGAGATGTCACCATGCCCCGTTCGTGGGAGGGACCCAACTCCACTTGTCTCAGGCCCTTAGGGCAGACTGGCACATGGGTGCCTGCACAGTCATGAGTTGCTCAGGGTGCTGAGAGGGGCACCCGTGGCGGTGACTCAGGATGGCACCCAGGTTTCCTGGATGTGCAGGTGCCTTCTTCCAGAGTCCCACAGCTCTCCTGACTGTGTTACAGGGCCAGGCCACGAGTCCCTCAGGAGCAGAGGCCCAGGACCCCCATGGGAGAGGCATCTCGTCCCCCCCAGCTGTGCCCGGAGCAGAATACAAACTGCCCAGAGGTGGGCAGGCTGGGCCCCGCTGGTCAGGCCATGGGCCCCACAGCGTGAGGAACAGCGTGGCTGACAGCCAAGCTGGGTGCAGCAAATGATTGCTTCTGTCGTGACCCCACAGTGTCGGGAAGAACCACGAGAACGAGATCCGCTACCACCCCTTCCGCATGACGCCCTACCTGGCCAAGGTGCAGGAGCAGCCTGGTGCCGAGAGCCAGCTCAGCTGCCTGCTGCTGGCGGAGAGGGTCCACTCTGGCTACGAAGGTACCAGGCCAATGCCAGGCAGGGCATCTCCCCTGCTCCCTCCAGGGCGTTCTGACCGACCAGGGTCTGTGCTGCAGCCTCCTGGCCCCTCTGGGTGAGGGTGGTGACTGCCGGGCCTGCACCAGAACCAAAAGGTCCCTCAGTGTTGCACACCCGCCAGCCAACCCCCCAACCTGGCTTACTCTCCTTCCCATCACCTCTCCTCCAGGAGCCTGAGCTCCTGCCTCTGCACAAATGCTGCCACAGCACCCCATCCACCCAGGGACCCCAGCATGGCACCTTCTGCATGGCAACCTCACGCCTCATGGGTCCTGCAAGGCCTGTAATTCCATGCTGTCCACACTCGCTGGGAGCAGGGGCTGCCACTGCCTCCTAGCCCGTGGGGCACCGCTCTGGGCCATGTGCATTGGGTTTTTCAACCATGTAGCTTTTTAAGGTTCGCATTGTGTACGATCACACCTGTATCTTGTGCTGGGGTGCCCTGGTGGTGGCAGGCGATGGCGCAGGTTGCTGGGTCCCTGAGTGAGTCTTTGCTTCCGGCTCCAGCCTGGCATTCGGGAAGTGAACCAGCAGTAGAACAGCTCTGTCTGCCTTTCAAATAAAATTAAAGAAGATTTGAAAACTTGACCTTAAAAAGTACTTCTTAAAATAATACAGCAATTGTTTTCAATATGTGGTTCATTCTCTAATGGTGAATGTGGAATGCCCCCTCCCCGAGGGTTATGTGAGAGCACTTAAAACTCAACAGGCGAGCCCCCCATGTTATCCGAATCGCCTCAGGAGTGAAAGCTTGCGGAATTTGAGTGTGTGCTCCATGATTTAATTAAATAAATCTGTGGATGTGTGACTTCCTTCATCTAAATTTCTCTGTTACCTTTGCCTGTCTCAGTGACAAAAGTTCTCCAAACAATGATTTCTTCTGAGAATCTTGTTGAGATTTATAGAGGGGAGAGAGAGATCTTCCATCACCCCCCAAGTGATCACAAGGGCCTAGGCTAAGGCCAGGCTGCAGCCAGAAACTGCAAACTTCCTCCCGGCTCCCGCATGGGCATTCGTTCTCTGCTACCTTCCCAGGCCGTTGACAGGGAGCTGGGTCATAAGCAGAACAGCCAAGACTCACTCCAGTGCCCACAGAGGGTGCCGTGGTCACAGGCAACGGCCTGAGCCTCTGCCAAGAATGTTGGCTCCTGAAACCAGTTTGTAGAAAACTGTTTTTGTCCCATGCTAAGAAGCATGGAGAAGGCCTCTAGGCTTGCCTTTGCTGAGAGGAGCCTGCCTGTGGTCCTGTAGTCACGTGCTGGTGGCAGCCACCCAGGGCGGGCTCCAAGTGTTAGCTGTCTGGGAAGTTTCCCAGTGGTTATGACTACCTGAGCATTCCTCCTAACCGGAAATGTGCACCCGATTCTATTCTTTCAGCACCTCGAATTCCTCCTGAAAAGAGAATTTTTACAACCACGCATACACCGAATTGTCTGTTCCAGGACGTGGATGAGAGGTGAGTGGCCTCCAGAACCGCTGCATATGCGGCCCTGGTTGTGGCATGCTTGGGATCCACAGGCAGTCTGCACTCCCCGATTCCCTCCAAAGCTGTGTGGCCTTTTGTCATCAGCGTGGCTGTCACGTAGCTCAGTAAGCCTCAGTAAGCTTTTGCACTGTGACGTTAAAGCTCCTTGGCCATAGCCAAAGGTCCGTGTTGGTTTTCCTTAGGAGGTAATTGCCTCTGTGTAGGCAAAGAGGGGATCACGGGACACACTTAGACGTTTCCTCAGATGTGATCTGTGTGCTGGGCTCGCTGTGCTGTTTGAACTCCTTCTGGGGAGTTGGGGCACAGCAGGGGTGTGCCAGGGGCCAGGGTTGGCATGGATGCTGGGGATGCCATTGGCAGGGTTGCCATAGGAGGACTAGCAGGTGCATGTCCCCATCAGGTTCTGAGTGGGATCTGCCCCAGGAGTGCCTTCCCCCAGTTCCTGCACACAGAAGGGTGTAGAGGGGAGGTTGAGTCCTCGGAGAACGTCATGGGAGCTGGGCAGGGAGCACCCACGGATGGGGCTTCCTGAGAATGGACCAGGTCATCCCCTAGACACTGTGAACGTCAGGTCCTCCACCAGTTACCCCAGCCCTGGAGTCAGGCCGCGCAGTCTCCTGGGGACTCAATGTCCATGCTACTCAGGTGTGCTCTGCCGCCCCTCTGGGGCAGAGGCTCAGGACAGAGTTGCAGGAAGCGGGTTCCTGGGTTCTGCCCTCTCCTGTGGAACATGGACAGTGGAGAGTGGGGCCCAGGAGCTCCGTATGTAAACCCACCCAGGAGAGTCTGGGTTTGTGGAGGTCTAAGAATTCCGCAGCGCCCCCCGCGTGGAGGTGGCCTGAGTGTGGAGGTTGATGAGAGGTGCTCACCACAGCTTCTTTAGCAAGGTCCAGGGCTGCTGCTGCTCCTCCCCATCCTGCTCACCCCTAGCCCAGCCACAGCCAGGGACAGCACCGGCAGCACCACGTACCGTCCGTACAGAGCGAGCCTAAGGCCTGGAGAGTGTGCCTCACATAGGAGAATTGGGGAGTGGGGAGCCCCATGAAGCCTCAGTGGGAGGAAGCTGAGAAAATATGGACCAGGGGACACTGGTGACCAGAGCAGAACAGGTGCAGAGCAAAGGTGCAACCATGGCAGTGACATCTGGAGGAGCCTCGGGAAGCCAGCCTGAGCACCATGGCAAAGCAGTGAGAAGCAGAGAGGCCACGAGCTGGTCAGGAGGCGGGAGTCCACACCCAGCCCGGCCCAGCCCTGATGTGAGCAAGGAAGACATCTTAAGGAAAGGGAATGCATTGCCGTGATTCTCGCTGAGCACGTGTCCGTGGTGGACAGAGCCCCCTCCATGTCCCGGGCTCCAGGCTGCTGGCATCTCCATGTGCAGGAGAGCTGGCGCCCCACAGGCCCCATGTCAGCCCTGTACCTGTGCCGTGAGTCCTGAGACGCACGCGTCTGCTCTCTTGCCAGCAATGAGATGCCAGAGAGATGGCTGCATGGGCTAACATGCATTTCCCCCTCGCAGGGCTGTCCCCCTCCTGGGTTATTTGCCTCAGGACCTCCTCGACACCCCGGTGCTGCTGCAGCTGCACCCCAGTGACCGGCCCCTGATGCTCGCCATTCATAAGAAGAGTACGTCCCCACCTGGTCCCCACGTGGGGACAGTGTGCATGCTCTCTGGGCCCTGTCCCCAAAAGGCGGTGGGTGCCGCCCTGCCCAGCCCAGCCCGCCTGGGGGTGGCTGACTGGGGGGTGCCACATGTCCCTCAGTGTGTGATTCTGTCCTGGGTGTCCCAATAACCATGTCCAGGGGAGTTGCATGATGTGACGTGTACTCCACCAAGCCCAGCCCTTGCAGACCCAGGTACCCCACAGACCGTGCCCTTTGTGGGGGTGGGTGTGCAGCACAGCCCCGCCTTTCAGAGCAGGCCCGGTTTTCTGTGTGTGCCTGGGCATGTCTGCATGCCCACTGCGCCCCGACGGCTGCCCTTCTCAGTTGTGCAGGCTGGCGGGCAGCCCTTCGACTCTTCCCCCATCCGGTTCCGTGCCCGGAATGGCGAATACATCACGCTGGACTCAAGCTGGTCCAGCTTCATCAACCCTTGGAGCAGGAGGATTTCCTTCATCATTGGGCGGCACAAAGTCAGAGTGTAAGTGCTCCCAGGACCCACGGGCTGGTGGACAGCTTGGGGGGGCCTGGTCAGGCGTGGGGGGCTGACAGGAGGAGGGGGAGGACCTGACATGCAGTTACCCACTGCCATCAGAGAGGTCTCCCTCAGGACCTTGAACAAGCGCATTGTAACCACACAGGGGTCCCTTGAATGAGGATGTGTTTGCAGCCCACCCCTGTGCCGAGGAGAAGGCGCCACACCCTGGGATTCAGGAGCTCACGGAACAGATCCATCGGCTGCTGCTGCAGGTGGCACACCTGTCCTCCTGCACCTGACCATCACCATTCATCCCATCACCCCAGTGCTGGCCTGGACAGTCCCTGACACCTCGGCTGCCCCCACCTTGCCCCCGGCTTCTGCATCTGAACCACAACCCAGAGCAATCCCCCCACCAGGACTTGGCCCCGCCTTGCCCGCCTGAACTTCTTTGGTGCCTGTCCTAGGGACCTGGGGCAGCCTGCTCTGTGACTCTGTGTCCATCGCTGTGGCACACAGCCAGGGCACTTAGCTCTGACTCTGAAGTTATCCAGGGCCTGTTGCTGAGTGATGCTGTGTTAAGGACAAGGCCTGCCCATCAGCCAGGGGTTCATCTGTGGAGCCCCCAGGCCTTAGGCCCCACGCTGTCCTCTCCTTGGGCAGTCACTCTGCCATGCTACACTCTGTCAGGGAGCCAGCATGAGCCTCTGGGCGTGACACCAACCCCTCGGTAGCCATAGCTCTGCTTGCTGTCTCCACAGCCAGTTCCGCACAGTGGCTCCAGTGGGTACGGGAGCCTGGGCAGCAACGGGTCGCAAGAGCAGCCCCTGAGCCACACCTCCTCCAGCGACAGCAATGGCCACGAAGACTCTGGCTGCAGGAGACCTGTATGTCCCCCTCTCCCCAAGACAGGTCCGGGTGGGCAGAATGCGGGTCCAGAGCCGCCCTGCCAGTGAGCCCCAGCCTTGCATGCTGGTTGTGAATGTACTCGTGTGGGGGCTTTGTGCACCTATGGGAGCGGACGCAGGCAACATCCAGGTTCGGCTGGGGATGGGGAGGGGTGGTCTGCAGACCTGCTCTTTCCTGCTCCCCAGGATGCCGAGGCGGGGTAGTCTGTGGCTCTGTCAGCACTCTGTCTTGGTGAAGGGACAGGCTGAGGAGTGAACCATGTGTTTGTTTTGTTCTTCAAGGATGTCCCTAAAAGTGACAAGCCCAAAGCCAGAAGTCCTCACTCTCACGAGTCTGTTCCAGGTAAGGTGCATCGGGTTTCTCAGGTGTGAGTGTGGCACAGCGTAGCTGGGCAGACTGGGGACAGGACAAGTGTCTGAGCTGTGGGTCACAGCCTGCAGGTGCGGGCAGCAGGGCCTCCCCTCAGCACGTGTTGACCCCCCGTCTCTCTGTCCTGCCACACGCTGGCCACCTGTGCATCCTGGGTTTGCCCCAGGACCCTGCCTCAGCCCAGAGGCTAATCTCTGTGCACTGTGTAGAGACTGCGTGGATCTGCACCCGTGGGCAGTGGGCAGTGCTGGCTTGGACCTCGCTCACCCCCCAGCCTGGCCCTTCCTCACCACACTGTCACATCTGGGCTCCACAGTCCCCTGCCATTTCTGTTGTGTGCATGCACACACACTGACATACACATAGGTGTGCACACATACCCGAGTATACACAGCTATGCACCTCCATGTACACATACCCGAGTATACACAGCTATGCACATCCATGTACATGTGTACACATACCCGTGTGTACACAGCTATACACATCCATGTACACATGTACACATATCCGAGTATACACAGCTATGCACATCCATGTACACATGTACACATACCTGAGTATACACAGCTATGTACATCCATGTACACATGTACACATACCTGAGTATACACAGCTATACACATCCATGTACACATGTACACATACCTGAGTATACACAGCTATGCACATCCATGTACACATGTACACATACCTGAGTATACACAGCTATACACATCCATGTACAGATGTACACATACCTGAGTATACACAGCTATGCACATCCATGTACATGTGTACACATACCCGTGTGTACACAGCTATACACATCCATGTACACATGTACACATACCTGAGTATACACAGCTATACACATCCATGTACACATGTACACATACCTGAGTATACACAGCTATGCACATCCATGTACACATGTACACATACCTGAGTATACACAGCTATGCACACACCTCCATGTACACATGTACACATACCTGAGTATACACAGCTATACACATCCATGTACACATGTACACATACCCGAGTATACACAGCTATGCACATCCATGTACACATGTACACATACCCATGTATACACAGCTATGCACATCCATGTACACATACCCGTTTATACACAGCTATGCACACACCTCCATGTACACATGTACACATACCTGAGTATACACAGCTATACACATCCATGTACAGATGTACACATACCTGAGTATACACAGCTATGCACATCCATGTACATGTGTACACATACCTGAGTATACACAGCTATACACACACCTCCATGTATACATATACACATACCCGAGTATACACAGCTATGCACATCCATGTACACATGTACACATACCTGAGTATACACAGCTATACACACACCTCCATGTATACATATACACATACCCGAGTATACACAGCTATACACATCCATGTACACATGTACACATACCTGAGTATACACAGCTATACACACACCTCCATGTATACATATACACATACCCGAGTATACACAGCTATGCACATCCATGTACACATGTACACATACCCGTGTGTACACAGCTATACACATCCATGTACACATGTACACATACCTGAGTATACACAGCTATGCATACACCTCCATGTATACATATACACATACCCGAGTATACACAGCTATGCACCTCCATGTACACATGTACACATACCTGAGTATACACAGCTATGTACATCCATGTACACATACCTAAGTATACATAGCTATACACACACTCATGTACACACGTACACCTATGTATACACAGCTATGCACGCACATCCATGTACACGTGTACACCTGTGTATACACAGCTATGCACACATCCATGTACACACAGCTATACACAATCATGGACACATATGCATACCCTTATAATACCACTGTACACATTCATACACATACATTCACGTACACACATACCCATGTATACACAGCTATACATGCACATTCACATACACGGCCTGCACACACATGCGTGCCCAGTCCTCTGAGTTAGGGCTCTCACTGTTGTGCTCGTTTCCCCTCTTGCCACAAAGAGGACAGGGACCCAGAGGACACTGGCCTGCCCTCGGTTTTCCCTTGGCCACACATCACCAGGATTCTTGGCCTGTGGAATGTGCTGGGGCTCCACTGAGTGTGGTGACATGCAGGACCAGGCCAGGACAGCCCCTTAGCCTGTGTCCTGGTGGTTGGTCATCAGCTCCATGGGCCCCAGGAAAGCTGAGAAGCCTTGGGGAAGGAGGACAGAAAGGAGGGTAGATTTGTCCTCCTTCCAGACCTGCAGAGCAGTCGCCTGGCTCAAATGAAAGCTGCCCCTGCCGCCGAGAAGGACAGCTCTGGGGACAGCTCTTCCAAGGCCGACTTCCCCGAGGAGCTGGCCTGCAAGCCCCTGCCCGCCTGCTCCTACCAGCAGATGAGCTGCCTGGACAGTGTCATCAGGTCTGTGTGTCCGTCTTCCCCTGGCGGGTGCCCCGCTAGCACCCTGCCTGGCCAGCGCCCTGCTTGCACCCCGCAGGCTGCCTGGCGTCGCTGACGCTCCCTCCACACAGGTACTTGGAGAGCTGCACTGAGGCCGCCACTCTGAAGAGGAAGTGCGAGTTCCCAGCAAACATCCCCTCGCGGAAGACCCCCGGCGGCCCTGGGCTGCCTCTTGAAGGTATCTTGATTGCCCAGAGCTGCCACGGGGCAGAGGGACTGGCTCCTGGCCGGGTGCTAGGCATGTCACATCCCACATGGATCTTGGCGACCTCCGGGCACAAGTGTTAAGGGAGTAGGTGGCTTCCCAGATCATCTGGATGGAGGTCACTTGGTTCTGGGCTGTGGGAGAGGACTAGCTGCCTATGGATACCTGCTGCCCAGAGTCCTCGCCAGCACCCATCGTAGGAAACCTAACAGCCGCGGGGAGTACCAGGGATTGGCCTGGGGTGGTGCTGCTATGGTCTCTGCCCTAACCCATGGCAAGGCAGCTGGTGATGGCACTGCCCAGTCAACATTCAGAGCTGTGCCGTGGAGAAGCCTCTCCCTGGAACCTGCCCAGAGAAGTGTGTTGGGTGGGGTCTGTGGCTCGCGCGCAGTGGCAGGGTGGCTGTCCTGGGGCCGCTGACCAGGGTCACTCTGACATACTCCATGTTTGCCCCGTTTTCCCTTGCAAAGAGGCTGCAGCACCTGCCGAGGTCAGCAGCCATGCCGAGGTCAGTGCTCACCTGAGCTCGCTGACGCTGCCCAGCAAGGCGGAGAGCGTGGTCTCCCTCACCAGCCAGTGCAGCTACAGCAGCACCATCGTCCACGTGGGCGACAAAAAGCCTCAGCCCGAGCTAGGTGAGCCCAGGGTTACTTGGTGAATTAAGAGCAATCCGATTCTCAGCATAAAAGCCCAAGTTTGACTGCTGTCTTCAACGTTTCTTTAAGTGCAAAAGAACTCTACCGTAGCCCCGTGAGGTAAGAGGGGTGCAAGAAGTCCAGGTGCGTAAATTGTAGGGGTGGGGGGCTGCCAGCCAGGGCCCACCGGCCACGCCCGTCTGGAGTGCCCTGTCGTCCTCTAGCGCCACCTGGTGGCGGCTACTTGCTCAGGCCGAAAAGCACAAGTGTGGGAGGGTGAGGGGACCTAGGCTGCAGCAGGGCTTACTGAGGCCAGGCCTGGCTGTCTGCCTGTCCCGGGATGACTGAAGGTGTTCTTCACGAGGAAGAGGGATATGAAGGGGGAGTGTCCCTCCGTCCCTTTTCAGCCAGTGCCTCACACACACACACACACACACACACACACCCGTCACTAATCAGGGACCCAGAAAGTCACAGGCACTGCAGTCTGTTTTGTTCTGGAAGCTAAGGGCAGCCTGGGAGCACTTCAGCTGCAGGCGGGGCTCTGGGCTCCCCCAGCCCCCGGGACACCCGGTAGCCCTAGGTCCAGCACACAGGGCAGATGCTGAGGGCGACCTGGCATCCCCCTCTACATTCACAAGAACGGTGTGTGTAGACCTGCAGGGGCACGTGTGGACCTAGGCCTGGGTCTTTGTTACAGAGCTGGTGGAAGACACCACGGGCGGACCCGAGTCCCTGGACCTGCCCTGTGGCCTCACCAAGGAGGTGCTGGCCGCGCACACCCAGAAGGAGGAGCAGAGCTTCCTGCACAAGTTCAGGGATGTGGGAAGGCTGGCCATCTTCCCCTCGCACTGGCGGTCGTATCCGCAGTCGAGTGAGCCAGGTGAGTGAGGACATCCCAATGAAGAACCTTACAGCTGGGTTTCTTTAAAAGGAAGAGTTCAACATCTTCCATCTGCTGCTTCACTCTCTGATAGTGAGGGCTGGACCAGGCTGAAGCCAGGAGCCTGGAGCTCCATCCTGGTCTCCCATGTGAGCAGGGAGCCATCCTCTGCTGCCTTCCCAGGCCCATTGTCAGGGAGCCGGATTAGTTTGCGTGGGCCCACAGGCAGTGGCTTAACCTACCACGCTGCATGCCAGCCCCAGGGCAGCTTTCAGTGAGCTGTCTCCTGTCAGAAGTGCGCTTTTGGGAGCTGCTGGCCACATGGTCTGTTCTGTGGCTTTGCTGCCTGGGCCAGCACTGGGGCCAGGGTGCTGTGAAGAGGACCTCAGCCTCGGGGTACCCAAACAGCTCCCTGCTGAAAGGGCTGCTGGGCCCTGAGTGAGGCCCTGCCTCCCTGAGCAGCCTGGCCGAGGCGTGATGAGCTGCAGCCCATCCTCCACCATGGGGCAGTGTCTGTGGCACGGGAAGCCAGCTGCTGCACATCCTTTCCTGGTCCAGAGGCCCCCTCATGACCCCAGTCCCCTCCCAAGACCATAGCTAGCACTGGTTCTGGACTGTCGCCCAGGGCACACGTCCCACCAGGACCCACCAAGAATGCCCAAGAGGCTGTGTCAGCCTCAGATACAGGGTCACCGCGCCCACCTGTGGGGCAGTTAAGAGTCCCTCGGCGTGCATAGAGCAGCCCTCCAGTCGCAGCCGCTGCTTGAAGCTACCTTTGGGGGCCAGCCCCAGGTCTGCCCCAAGCTGCCTTTGGGGGCCAGCCCCAGGACTGCCCCAGCAGGTGCTGGAGTAGCTGACTCCCACCCACTCAGGAGCAGGAAGTGGCTGCGTTCATAGGACAGCCGCAGTGCCATTGGAGAGGTTCCGTGAGGCATAGGTGGTCCTGCCTCTCCCACTGCAGACTGGGGCCTGCCCACTGCTGAGGAGTGCCGGACTCACTGGGCTGTCGGTACAGACGGAACTGTCACCAGCAGCCAGTCCTTGCCACGGGAGATGGCGGCAGCCCCCAGCCACGGGTGGGCCTGCGCACAGGTGCGAGCCACTCCCAGGAAAGGCACGTTATCCTGATTTTTCTCGCTTCACCAAGGGTCAGGAGACACAGGATGGAACAGATAGCCCTGGTTGGCACGAGAGCCCCTGGACTGTGGGCCTTGGGGGTGCGGGGGTGGTCTCCAGGAGCCAGTGGCATGGGCGTCAGGTTGTGGGATCCTAACTGGGAGTACCTCACATTTCAGCTTCCCCCGGACTAAGAAACGTTTCTGGAATGGACTCATCTTGGAAAAAAACTGGAAAGAACAGAAAGCTAAAGTGCAAGCGAGTCAAGCCCCGAGACTCCTCGGCTAGCACAGTGTCGGGGGGGCCCATGCCCCAGCGCCCGCCGCTCACAGGCCTCAGTGCTACAGCCTGGGCACCCTTGGCCGCGTCCCAGTCCAGCTGCTCTGTGGTGCCCTTCCCCGCCCCCATGCCTGCCTACTCCCTGCCTGTGTTTCCGGCACCAGGAACGGTGGCGGCCATGCCCGTGGCTCCGTCTCCTGGCTTCGTCATGCCGGGGCAGCCGGAGCTCGCCGTGCAGGCCCCGCTGTTCCCTGCTCCCTTGGCCCCAGTTGTGGCCTTCATGCTTCCCAGCAGCTACCCCTTTTCACCGGGACCCCCCAGCCCGCCCCAGGCCTCGCCCAGCCAGCCTGGCCTCGAGGCCCCAGTGACCTCAGCCTCGCCGCCTGAGCTTCCCAGCCAGAGCTCACTGCCCAGACCTCCGAGCGCCTTCTGCCCGGCCGCCGGGACCAGGGGCAGCACATCCCCACCCCTGTTCCAGTCCCGCGGCAGCTCACCCCTGCAACTTAACCTGCTGCAGCTGGAGGAGGTCCCTGAGGGCGGCATGGGGGCCGCTGGGACCTCCGGGACAGCAGCCACAGGGCCGGACCACAAGCCCGGGACTGTTCCAGACCGTTTGCCAAAGGCACCTCCAGCTGTAAGTGATGCTCTCTGTGCCCAGGCTGGTGGCAGGTGTGACTGCTTTGTGCCTAGACTCCCAGCCTGCCAGGCTTGGGATGAGCAGATGTGCCAGAAGGGAGCCTGTGCCGTTCCAGAGCTGTCAGAGGGGCGTTGGACTTTGTACTGTCCTAGTATTGTATTGCAGAGTTCACACGGCCACGGGGGCTTCTGTCTGTCAGTCCTGGGCATCATCAGGCTGGGTGGCAGGCCCCCTGGGCAGTGGCTAGGCCTGCCCAGGTGTCCACACAGAGCAGGAGGGAGGGGGCAGTGTGCTACCTGTTTCCATCCAGGGCTTACAGGTGTAGCTGGCGTGTCCTGCTCAACCCCTGGGCTCACAGGTGCGAGTTGTCCCAGGGGATCCCCTTGCTGGGGGCCTGAGTTAGGGTCATGGGCCCAGAGGTATGCCCGGTGAGCCCTATTTCTCCTCCCACATCCCCCGCTCCTGAGCCTGTACTCTGAGCCAACAGCCTGGGAGTCCAAAGACTTGAGGCTCAGGGTTTCTCGCCATGCCAAGCCCCTCCCTCTGACCAAGGCAGCCCCCCACTCGCCGTGAGGAGGGGCCTTCAGGGGAGGGAAAGAGTGGCATGGAAGCTGTTTTCCAGATTCCATGGTCACTATGACCACAAACAACATAAGGCTGCCCCCGGATTGCAGAAGGCCAGCCTTGTCAGCCCAGGTTCAGCCGAGCGGACCCCTTCACTGCTCACAGCCAGACCCCAGCACTGTGCCTTCAGCGACAGCCCACACACCTAAGTGTCCTGTCCCATTCTCCCTGTCCCCCCTGTAGTCTGAGGAGCCTGCAGACACGCAGAACAGTGACGCCCTCTCGACATCCAGTGACCTGCTCAACCTGCTCCTGAACGATGACCTTGGCTCTGCCACAGGCTCCGCCCTGTCTGGGAGCAGTGCCTCGGCCACCTCAGACTTCCTGGGCTCAGGCGCCACACGCAGTGGAACAGGTGTGTGCTGCTGGGGGTGGCAGGGCCATGGGGCAGAGCCTGCAAGGCCATGGGACAGCAATGCTGGGATGGGATGGCATGGGATGGGATGGCATGGGATGGGGCAGAGCCTACAGGACCATAGACCAGCACTGTGCTAGGATGGGGTGGGGCAGAGCCTGTGGAACACAAGGTAGCACTGGGATGGCATGGGATGGGGCAGAGCCTGCGGGACCACAGACCAGCACTGTGCTGGGATGGGGAGGGCAGAGCCTGCAGGACCATGAGCTGTGTCAGGATACTGTCCCGGGCTTCCAGGTGGCCACTCTGCCCACAGCAGTTCCCAGGTATTGTTCAATGGAATCCCCCGTCCCTACTGCCCACTCCCCACATCAGTCCCGGCCCAGCCAGCCCTCAGCCTCCCCAGGCAATGTGCCACCTTCCTCACTTACACTCATGAGTGTGCATGTGGCTGTGAACGCCTGTGGCCTCTACTGACCAGCAGCTTCCACATAGGCCCTGGGGACTGCTCACCGTCCTCCCGGGTAGCTCTACTGTAGACGGAGTATGCCTGGGAAAGACCTTGATTTTGACACAGGGCCTCAGGAAGAGCCCCTCCAAGGACTTGTGGAGGGCGCCGGAAGGAGGGGCCATGCATGCTGAGAGCCTCCCGGGTCACCGGCAGATGAGGCAGCAGGGACTCCCTGGGACAGGGGTTGACCTGGCACGTTGTCTGTTTCCAGATAGCAGTGACACAGGTCACCTGAGCAGATGCTTGGGAAGCACAGACTCCTCAGAGAATAGCCGCAAGGTGATGCGGGCTCTGGCTCTGGAGGGCAGTGCGGACCCCGGCCGGCTGCTGATGGCCAACACGGATGACCGTGCCATGCTCACCTACCATCTGCCTTCTCGGTAACTGCTCTGCCTCTTCCTGGGAACACGGGGAGGGACGGCCAGCAGGGCCGCCTTGGTGACCCTGCCAGTATGGCCCCACCCTGTTAGCCAGAGCCCAGCAGTAGCTGCCTGCTGCTCGTGAGGATGACTGGCTCCTGGCACCAACTCTGGGGGCTCACCTGCAACTGCTCTCAGGTGTCTGCCAACATCCTGTGCACCTGCTGCTGGGAAGCTGGGGGTGAGCTGTGGAGGGATCCCAGTAGGGGATGGCCCATGGCCATTGGTCTATGCCCAGGCTGAGTCCACAGCAGGCCACCACATAGAGCAACTCCTTGGAAGGGGAGCTACAAGGGAAGGAGCAGGTGGCAGCAGAGAGGGAGGAGGGAGGGAAAGTCAGGCCTCCACTCTCAGGGTGAGCCTGGAGCCGTGTCCAGACCCCCTCAAGAGGAACAATGCTGCACCTGCCCGGCCTGGATCTTCCACTAGAGTTTCACATAAACTGAAATCTTGACTTGGGTTAGCATTTTGACATCTGCCAGGGGACTGGTTTCCTGCCAGGGGATAGTGGGTCTTGAATGATCAACTAGCATTAGCAAAATCATCCGAAACCACAGCATCCCTGTTGGGAAAGTTGCAGAAGGTGAGCGTGTTTGGGAAACAGAATCCCTCCAGACCCTAAGCACCTGCCTCACCCCGTGCAGGGACGTGGAGACAGTGCTGAAGGAGGACAGGGAGAAGCTACAGCTGTTGCACAAGTCCCAGCCCCGGCTCTCTGAGGGCCAGTGGCAGGAGCTGCGTGAGGTCCACCCCTGGGTGCAGATGGGCAGCCTGCCTGCAGCGCTGGACGTGGCGGTAAGCTCACTGTGGCCCTGCAGATAAGGGCTCCCAGTACCAGCCTTGCACCTTTCCTCTGAGGCTGAGGAGACCAGAGGGAGAAAGGTCTGTCACGCCAGGACCACTGCAGAGAGCTCTCCTCCAGCGTCATTTCCAAAAGGTTAAATGTCTGACATCGGCCACTCATTGCAATTGGAATTGTCTTCCCTTTATCAATTCTGGTTTCTCTTTCAAAAACTAAAATGAAAGCAAAAGTTCCAGTCCGCAGCAGTCACGTGCCCACTGCATTGTCGGTGGGCACGGCAGTGGGCACCCTGCAGCCCCGTTCCTGAGAGGCCAGGCTGGAGGTGTTCAGCCCTTCTCCTTGCCGGACCCATAGCCCCTCCCTGCCCACTCGGGCACCCTGACCCCACTGCACTGGGGACACTGCTCCCCTGGCACCCCAGGCCCCTGCAGCTGAGTTCCACGTACCTTCACTGTCCTCTCCTGTGCCAGTGCCGCTCTCCTGTGAGCCCTTCTCCCCGGGGCCTGGCTCTGCCCCACTCCTCACCTGCTGGCTGGAAACTGCAGGCAGTTCCCCGAGGGGCCCTGAAATCCAGTCCTCTTCTCCCTGGGTCCAAACTTGAGCTCCCATCGTCCTCAGAACCCACCCAATCCCACTCCCTGTAGCTGGGAGTAGCTTCCTCCTGCCTGGGGCTCGGCTGCTTCTCTCTGCACCATCCAGGCTGTCAGCAAGTCCGTGGGCTTGACCTTCAAGGTGCAAGACTGGCTGCTGCCATCATCTGGCACCGCCCCCTGCTCGCCATGCAGTCATTCCCTGTTGGCAACGCCCGCATCGCCATGTACCCCGAGCCGAGCGGAGGGACTAGGGTTATGAGACAGACAAGACAGACAACACACACAACACACCGAGGCTCATTCTTATGAAGTGAAGCCCTTTATTCAAAGTTGAACTGCTCTTACATAGTCTGCTTGGCCCCCCTCCAGGATCCTCCAAATGCTCAAGCAACACCTAAGCTCCCCCGAGGACGTGCAAAAAGGGGAAGCAGGAAGGAGGGAAATTGCAGTCAAACCACAGGGGCTAAATGTATCAGGCCATGATTGCCCTTCCTGTTACACCTTTGAGAAACAAGCTATGCTGTGGAGTTAACCCTTGGGAGACTGGGGCCTACAATTCCCAGCTGCACCACCACTTGATTAGTGGTGGCAAAGCCACACACATCTGTCCCTCTCCTGTCACTTCCCACTTGAGGAGCCGCTCAAGCCACTGGCTGCACCCTGGCTGGCCGGGCAGGTGCATGCTGTGCTGACACCCTCTGCCCCCCGGGCAGGTGCGTGCTGTGCTGACACCCTCCGCCCCTGGGGACCCAAGCTCCATCTTTTCCACAGTCCCCATGCATTCTCTCTTGCTGTGGCGCATGTGACCCCAAAACTCGGGCACTTCCATCCGTGTGGAGTCATGGTTTCTCAGGGTCAGGAACTGGAGAGCCTCCCAGCCCAGGCTACTTTCACCTGGAGCCAGAGGGTCCCTGTCTGGACCTGCCTGCAGTGCCACTTGGAGTTCCCCAGAGAGAGGAAGGGGGTGGGGAGTCGGGGGGAGGGCCTGCCCTCTTAGAGGTGCTCACGCTGGGCAAGTAGCAGGGCCAAGTTCTAGAGCCCTGCCTAGCCCCTGGCGCCTCATTGCATCCTGGTGCTCTGTGGGCCCTGCTATGTCCTCGCCCTGCCCGACCATGAGCACCCCCTGGGCTGGGGTGGCCTTGCAGGGAAGTGGAGCCGGATCTTCCTGCATCTGAGCCACGTTTTCCAAGGAAAGCTCACGTTTGTCTTCCAGGAATGTGTGTACTGTGAGGACCGGGACCAGGGCGGCCTCTGCGCACCCTACAAGGAGGACGACAGTGACTCTCTGGGACTCAGCGAGGGGTCGGACGCCAAGGAGGAGGGCAGGCCCACCCTGAGTCAGGCAGAGGCAGGACACACGTAGCCGCCCTGGCAGCCCCTGGGGATGGGCAAGCCCTGCATCGCTTCTGTCACTTGCTTTGTTTTGTTAAAAAAAAAAAAATGTCATGTTCTGAAGGGGCAGCCCCAGGCAGGGTGGTCTGGTGGCCAGGGAAAGCTGCAGGACAGTCCGAGGAAATCTGACAGCTACAAGGATGAGGCCCAAGTCCTGAGACTTCGTGCCAGGGTATGGCTTCCAGAACTTTCTGAAGTGTGCTTGCTCACACCCTCTGCCTTCTCTTGAGGCTGTTTTGTAGTTGGATGCTTTTTTCCCCACACCAAGGGGAGTATCGCCCCTTGTAACGTGCTTTCAGGGCAGCTCCCCTTCAGCCGTGGGCACAGCTGGCAACCCTGGCAGCCGCTGCTGCAGTGGGACAGCTGAGTCGGCCCTTTGCTTGTAGTGAGAACGACCCTCAGGGAGTCTGTGGCTGCTGGCCAGCCTCAGCAGCATCCACTCCCCGACTCTCCGGATGCTTCCATGTCCTCCAGACCATTCTGGACAAAGTGTAAAGTGTTCCCATTCAGCTACCTGGGTGCCCTCTTACAGACCAGGCCTTGGCTATGCTTCCTGGGGCCCATCTGGGTCTGCTGGAGCCCCCAGAAGCCAGCCCGGCCAATGTGAGCCACACCTGAGAGCATGAGTACAGGGCTCCATGGAGATGGGGAAGGGGGTTCCTGCCACAGGCGCTGTCAGCCCAGCAGGGCTCCATGGAGATGGGGGGGGTCCTGTTGCATCGTGTACCCCAGAGGTGGCTGGGAGAATGTCTTACTGGTCCCTTGTGAGTGACAAGTGCTCACTGACCTACAGTTGGACCAAGCCCACAAAACGAAGAAGGAAGCAGGTCTCTCCTTGCTTGTAGATGGAGACGTGGCCACAGGAAGGGCAACGTCTCCTTGTGTTCCATGCGGTTCGCAAAACTGCCTCACGCCTGAATGTGAAAAAGAACAGCAAAGGAACCCAGCAGTGTCCCTTGAGGGTGGCCAGGGGCAGCCTGGGTCCTCGGGGTGAGGGAGGGCCCCTCTCATGTCCCCTACAGCTGGCAGAATGTGCTGGGGGATGTCTGCTTGCCCACGGCCCCGTGGCCACGTGGACTTTGCGTGCTCACGTGCTGTAAGTGTCCTGTTCTCTGTGTGTGTGCCTAGCCGGGGTTAGCCCTTCTCTGCTGTGAGCCGAGCCTTTTGAAAATCTTCCTAAGAGTCCGTGAGTGCCCCGAGCTCCCAGGGCGGCCGGCGAGCCTCGCGCACAGTCTGTTCCTGTGCAAATGGACGTGTGTCTCCCAGTGCGGTCCATTGGTGTGACTGCTTGTCTTTTTAAGACTTGTTTTGTCTTTTAGAACATTGGTAAATAAAGCAAGCATATTTTTATTTTGTCTGTGAGTGTCTGGAGGCATAGACGAAAAATTGGGATAGAGATCAAAGGTTGCTGCCGGGTTGTTTCTTGAAACTGTTTCCAGAAACTGAGCTGTGCCTCAGAGACCTGTGGGGGCAGAGGGGATTCTCCCCGCGGCTGGCCGCTGGCCCGACCAGCTCCAGTGCCGTGGACCCTGTGTGATGCAAATGTGATTCTGGGGCCTGCCTGCTCGCTCATGTTCACTTACAGATGCAGGGTGTAGCTCCTGGCTCCCCATCCCCAGCTGCTCTCCCCTGGCCTGGGACCCCAGGCGCCCACTCTGGCCCGGCAGTGTGGCGGCCACAGGGCTGAAGGCAGAGGCCACAAGGTGGCCAAGTCAGCATTCCCCCTGCTCTGCTTCTCCCACCCCAGCCCTGCTTTCTGCGGGCTCAGCCCCAGGAAGCCTGCCCCACTGCGTCTGCCCTGGCTCCCTCTCGCTGCACCCTGAAGGTTGGGGGCCTGGAGGGCACGAGGACTGCAGAGTGCCCGAGGCCGTCGGCATGATCCCATTTACCCTACAACCCCGAAGGCACCCGTGCCCTTCCAAACCAGAAGGAGCAGCTCAGCCTCCGGGCAGCCTGCCCGCTGGGCTGGACCCCACACTGCTATTGTTCCCCGGCATTCACAGCCCATCGTGCCATCCTTCCTGGCTGTGGAAGGCACCCAAGGGTTCCAGGGCCCAGGAAGTGGGTTGCAGTGGAGGAGGAGTCTGAGGGACTGCATGGTGGTCCCCAGACGGGGACAGCACAGCAGCCTGGCAAGCACACACTGCTGATAGAAGCGCAGTTCCCAGCGTGTGGACTCAAGCTGCCACCGCTACCGTGTTGCCCCTTGCTCTCAGGCCGCACCCTGAGGCACCTGCCAAGCCCCAATGTAGCTTTTTCCTCAACACCTGCCTTCCAGCCCCCCTCCTCACCCACACCTGTCACCCGTCCTTGTGTGTACAAATGTGGCTTTTGCTAACACCTGTAACCAGAACCCAGCTTCCTTGCCTTCTCTGGGATTGATCCCAAATGCGACTCCCTCCAGACACCGTTGGCATGCGGGGTGTGTCGGCACTGGTGACTGCAGAGCCAGGCAAGACGCTAATACCACATTTCTTGGGTGGCCTTTTGCTTTTTATTTTCCTAGAACAAGAGGTCCAGATGAAATCCGAGGCTGCCTGCAGCCACTGTAGACACTCTGGGAGTGAGTGAACCAGCAGATGGAAACACTCTATCTCTGGCTGGTGCTGTGGCATAGTGGGTTAAGCTGCCAACTGCACCAGCATCTTTCCATATGAGCGCCAGTTCAAGTCCCAGCTGCTGCACTTCAAATCCAGCTCCCTACTGACGTACCTGAGAAAGAAATGGGGCATGGGCCAAGTTCCTGGTCCCCCTGGGAGACCCAGAAGCAGCTCCTAGCCCTTGCGGCCTTTGGGGAGTGGGCCAGCATACAAGATCTCTCTCCCTGCGTCTCCACCCATCTCTGTCTTCCAAGCTCTCTTCTTTGTATCTCTTCCTTTGTAACTCTGCCTTTCAAATACAATTTAAAAGGGTGGCGGTGGCCTGTGCTGAGCAGAGTAAGCTTTGGCCTTCAGTGCCAGCATTCCATACGGGCGCTGGTTCAAATCCCAGCTGCTTCACTTCCAACCCAGCTCCCTGCCAACGCTCCTGGGAGAGCGGCAGAGGATGGTCCAAGTCCTCGGGTTCCTGCACCCATGTGGGAAATCTGTTAGACGCCCCTGCTCAGTCCAGCTCTGCCCACTGCAACCATTTAGGGAGTGAACCAGTAGATGGAAAAGCTTTCTCTGTCTCCCCTCTGTAAATCTACCTTTTAAATAAAAACAAACCTTTTAAACAATACATTTAAAAGTCGCCCTGTTTATTTTCCTATTTCACTTCGGGGGCCTCCTTCAGGTGGGAAGATGAGTATGGACACAACCTCCCTGGGGCCCCCCACGGAGAAGGGGACACGTGTACATGCGTGCGTGCCTCAGGTGTGTCCTGAACGTGTTCCGTCCACGAGCCAGTGGGGGGCCGAGTGGACAGCGGGTTCAGGACCCTCCAGCTCTCCTGCGCTCCTCTGGCCTGCCCCCTGCTGTGGAGAGGCCCCCAGCAGGCTCTTCAGCTCCACCTTCGGGCACAATCACGGGCGCCCCCCACCGTCCTCCCCTTAAGGCCTCCAACTGGCCAGGGGACCCCCTTCTCTTCCGAGGGACAGGCGGGGACGCGGAGAACGTCCCGAGGGCTCAGCGGGCTGTGAGGCAGAGGACGTGCTGCCAGCCCAGGGCCCACCCAGCGGAGGGCGAAGGCCCGGAGCCGCTGCGGGGTCCTGCGCCTTAGGCTGAAGCCTCGGGTGCGGGGCGCAGGAGGCACCGCGACGTCCCGGCAGGCCGGCAGATGGGCGGCCGCGGTGGGGGTCGCGGGCGTCCGGCCGCCCCGAGCGCCCGCCCGCCCGCCTGGCGCACAAAGCCGGCGGAGACAAAGACGCGGCCGACACCTGCCGCTCTTGGCGCGGCTGCAGCTGCCAACTGTCACGGGCATCAAGTTACTGCGCCAGACGGCGACGGGGAGGGGGCGGACGGGGGGCGGAGGGGACACAAAGGGGGGCGGGGAAACACGCCGAGGAAGGGCTCGGCGGCTTGGGGGTCGCCATGGGAAGGGCTGAGAGGCGAGAGGTAGCATGGGGGGTGTCTCACGGTGAAGAGGGGCACCAGAGCCCCGAGGGGGGAGGCGAAGGTCCCGGGAAGGAAAGGGAAAGGTCAGGGGTACGCGGGCCAGGGACCACCAGGAGGTGGGGGGCGCTCAAGAGGGGCGGGGTCGTCCCGGCTGGGGTAGGGGAGCTCCCGGGAGCAACAGGCGGATGGACCCCGCCCTGACGGCTTTCCGGGGGTGAGCGTCGGGGACGGCGCGCGGCTGCCCAGGCGGTGCCCACCTCCCCGGCGGCCAAGCCGGACGCGACGCGGACGCGCCCGCTCCCCCGCCGGGCCCCCGTCCGCTCCGAGGCCGCACGGCCCGGGCCCGCCCCGCCAGCTGCCCGCCGCGCCCCGGGCCGCACAAAGCGCGCGCCTGCCATTGGCCTGGGCGCGCCGGGCGGCGGGCAGCTCCGCCAGTCGGAGCATTGAGACGCAAATGATCCGCTATAAAAGCGGGCGGGGCGGTCGCAGGCCGGAAGACGCGCGGGGCGGCCATGGCCCCGTCCCTGGCGTCGGGCCGGGACCGCACGGGCCGGGAGGACGAGGACAGCTGCGGGGAGGCGCGTGGGGACCGCAAGGTGCGGGCGCGGCGGGGCGGCGGGTGAGGCGAGGACGGCGGGGCGCTTGCGGCCGGGGCTCAAACACTCGCTTCCCGCAGGCCCGGAAGCCGCTGGTGGAGAAGAAGCGGCGCGCTCGGATCAACGAGAGTCTGCAGGAACTGCGGCTGCTGCTGGCGGGTGCCGAGGTGCGGCTGGGGACGGGCGCGTGGGCTGCGGGCTCGTGGGCTGCGGGGCGCGTCCGCTGCTCACGCTCTCCCGGCGCCGCAGGTGCAGGCCAAGCTGGAGAACGCCGAGGTGCTGGAGCTGACAGTGCGCCGCGTGCAGGGCGCGCTGCGGGGCCGGGCGCGCGGTGAGTGTGGTTCCCGGAGGCGGGGTGGGGGGCCCGGGGCGGTCCCCCCCTCACCCTTCCCATCCTCGGTCGCAGAGTGCGAGCAGCTGCAGGCAGAAGCCAGCGAGCGCTTCGCCGCCGGCTACATCCAGTGCATGCATGAGGTGCACACCTTCGTGTCCACGTGCCAAGCCATCGACGCCACCGTCGCCGCCGAGCTCCTGAACCACCTGCTGGAGTCCATGCCACTGCGCGAGGGCAGCAGCTTTCGAGACCTACTGGGGGACGCCCTGGTCGCGCCGCCAGCAGCCCCTGGGTGCCTTGGCTGGCCCACAGGAGGCACACCTGGGTCCCCATTGCCCAGCCCCCCAGGTGCCGGGGATGACTTGGGTTCCGACATGGAAGAGGCCCCCGAAGCACCTGCCGAGGGGCTGGACTTGGTGCCCGCGGCCTTGGGCAGCCTCACGACGGCCCGGAGATCCCAGAGTGTCTGGAGGCCTTGGTGATCAAAGCCAGCCCTGATCCGGCTGGGCCCGGGGGCGGGGAGGGCAGTAGTCAGCTCTGGTTGGATGGCTGGTGGGGCAGCCCAGCCAGGCTCCAGCCTGATTTTGGTGGGGAGGGTTCCCCACCCCGAGCTTCACCTTTGCCAGGGGTCTCTTGTGCAGGGATAACCCCCAGTGGGGTGGAGCCTCTCCTGGGGGCTGGGCACCCGTGCCAGGCAGGGAGCACAGAGCCTGCTAGTCCTGGCCTGCACCTAAGCTTGCGTTTGTGGCCTTGGAGCCAAGGGCTGACAGTGGTGTCCCTCAGAACTGCGGGAAAGGGCTGAGGTTTTCCGGAGGCCTGGCTGGCGGCACATCGGCTGTGTGTTCCATTGTGTTAAATAAAGGTATGCAGGAAGGCCCGCGTGAAGAGACACTGAGGGCTGTGGCGTGGTTGATGCTGTCACGGCAGATGCGTGCAGCCAAGCGTGGCTCTGGGGACTGGAGCAGCATGTTAAGCTGTGATCCCGCCGTCAGTCATGAATGCTGGTTCGAGTGCCAGCTGCTCCACTTCGCGTGCAGCTCCCTGCTAACCAGCCTGGGAAGGCAGCAAAAACAGCCCCACGCCTGGAGGAATTTGCCCAGCCCTGGCCGTTGCAGCCACCTGGGGGTGGCTCACCTTGTATTCTCACCTTATGTCACAAAGGGTGGGCACTGCTGCTTGCCCCTGCAGCTTGCTCTCCGCACCACTGCGTGATGCCACTGTTCTGGGGCTCCTGGGCTGCCCGGAGACCCCTGGTATTAGGGTGTCCCTTCCCTAATGGGGGCAGCCTGAACCCAGGAGCTCTGAAGCCCCAGGGAGCACAGGCAACAGAACAGGCAGTCGGGGTGTCAGAGTCCCTAAGGTGCTGAGGTGTGACCACTGGGACTGGCATGTGGTCTGCCTGGCTAGAGGCCACTGCTCTAACAGACCATTGCCCCCAGGCGGGCCTGGCTACAGCAGGTGTTGCTCTGGCCTCATGAGACCGGATGTTAGCAAAGGTGTGGGGGTGTTGGTCCTCTGGAGAGGAATGTCGTTCCAGATGGCCTCAGGGGTGTGGCCAGGTCAAGGTCAGCAGCTCCCCCTAGACCCCCACAGTGAGCCCCAGGCTTTCTGGGCAGCGTTAGCCAGGTGGGCTGCTTAAAAGGAGTGACTCCATTTGCCCAGTAGTGCTGTAGGCTCAGGCCAGGACCCCCCTGCCCACCCAGAACCCTGGGCCTGCCCCTCGCACCCAGATGCCCCCTGGGGGAGCTGCTCCACCTCGCTGCAGCCCCAGGCCCCTGCAGGCTTCACCTCCACCTTCCCTGCTGGCACCTCCCAGCCCCAGGCCCTCGCCCGCGCTCAGTGGCGCCCACTGCAGGCGAGCCAGGTCCACGGCCTGAAAACACGCGGTTATCATCTGGCGGTTAGTCTGGCTAAGTCGGGGTGTCAGCAGGCAGGGCTGTGATCCTGGCCCTACGAACAGCCCTCACCGACTCCTCCATCTCCAGAGCTAGCAGCTGTCTCCTCTGCCTCTTCTCCCATCCTCACGTCTGCTTTGTCACATGTGTAAACACCTGCTTGTGTGTTTACACACTTACTTAAGAGGGAGGTCAGTTGATGTGAACCCAGTCCGGGTCTCGCCCACGGGAGGCAGGAACCCAAGGACTTGAGGGACCCCGTGCTGCCTCCTCGGGTGTGCGTGGGTGGGAAGCCAGGATCCGGATGCTCTGCTGAGGGTGCAGGTGTCCTGACCCTACGCCAGGTGCAAGCACCCTTCGACACTGACCCTGCTCGCCTGCCCCTCCCTCTGGCTCTTAAGGGCTAACACTGGCACACCTGCGCGACTCGTCCCTTTGCGATGAAAGCTGACAAGTACACAGGTCCTGGCCCCTGGGTGTGGACATGGGGCAGTAGCGGAACCACCTTCTCCCAGGCGCTCCGCCTTCCTTGAGGCCCCAGCCTCCCCGTGGGAGGTACCATTTCTCCTCCCTTCTGGAACATTCTTGCCAGCCTACAGACCCGCAGACGTGTGGGAGGGGATCGGAGCCCTCCTGTGATGCTCCTGTCTGGGGTTCCCACCCCTGTTGCCCCAGTCTGCTCAGTCTGAGCTCACTCGCTCCCCAAGTCCCCCAAGAACCTGCTCTATCCCTGGTGAGAACGGCCTGTCAGTCCATCAGTCATCAGGTCCAGCACGCGCGCAGCACACCAGGGTGTCAGCTGCCAGCACTAGCGGGTAGCTTTGTCACCCTTGGCCATCCTGTCCGCCTAGGAACGGCAGGTGCCAGCCATCCGGCTGTTACCCTAACCGCTGCAGCTAAACATTGCAAATGGGCCGAACGTTGACCCCACGCGACCAGGCACAGGTTGATTCCCCAGGGAGGCAATACTGCTGATTAGGCAATAAATCCGAGAGCTCCCCCTCGATTTTTCTCCCTAATGCTTCTTTTCCAATCAACTAAGTCTGAATGTTCTAGTTCGAGTCCTCTCCCCACCCTCCGTTGCCGCCCACCAGGCCTAGGGCATCCCGTCCCTAGCCGAGCCTCCGCCCCAATCGCACCCCGACTCCCGGCTGTCCCCACGGCCGCTGCCCGGACCCGAGCACCGGCACCCGGCCAGGCTCGCTCAGCCGTCCGGGCCTCGCCCTGGAGCGGCGTCGGGGCTCCGCAGCGCGGGGAGCGGGGTTCGGCCGAGAAGCCGAGAAGCCGAGGCCCAAAACACTCCGTTCCGCGCGCCCGGCCGCACGGCCTGCCGGGACTTGTAGTCCGCGGCCGTCGGACTCGGCCGGGACTCCGCTTCCCAGAGGCCCCTGCGGGCGGGCGGCTCCGCGGGGTGCCGAGGGGGGTGCTGAGTGGGTGCCGAGGGGGCTGAGTGGGTGCCGAGGGAGGGCGGGCGGATGAGTGGGTGCCGAGAGGGGCGGCTGAGTGGGTGCCGAGGGGGCTGAGTGGGTGCCGAGTGGGGTGCCGAGGGGGGCAGCTGAGGGGGTGCTGAGTGGGTGCCGAGGGGGGTGCTGAGTGGGTGCCGAGGGGGCTGAGTGGGTGCCGAGGGGGCGGCTGAGTGGGTGCCGAGTGGGGTGCCGAGGGGGGCAGCTGAGTGGGTGCCGAGGGGGCTGAGTGGGTGCCGAGGGGGCGGCTGAGTGGGTGCCGAGTGGGGTGCCGAGGGGGGCAGCTGAGTGGGTGCCGAGGGGGCTGAGTGGGTGCCGAGGGGGCGGCTGAGTGGGTGCCGAGTGGGGTGCCGAGGGGGGCGGCTGAGTGGGTGCCGAGGGGGGCAGCTGAGTGGGTGCCGAGGGGGGCGGCTGAGTGGGTGCCGGGTGGGGTGCTGAGTGGGTGCCGAGGGGGGTGCTGAGTGGGTGCCGAGGGGGGCGGCTGAGTGGGTGCCGGGTGGGGTGCTGAGTGGGTGCCGAGGGGGATGCTGAGTGGGTGCCGGGTGGGGTGCTGAGTGGGTGCCTGAGTGGGTGCCGAGGGGGCTGAGTGGGTGCTGACGGGGCCGCCCGCGTCCCCCCGGGACTGGCCGAGGTGGCGATGGCCCAGCAGCCTAACCCACGCGTGAGCGTGAGCGGCCGAAGCGCAGAGAGCGGCCGGCCTGACGTGGGTTGGACGCGGCATAAGGGGGTCACCCCCACGTCCTCATGGAAGCTTCCAGGCGTTTTCCGCTCCCCCCACCGGAGCACAGTGAAGACGTGGCGTGGCGGCCACAGCTGTTCTTGTCCCCGTTGCCGTGTGTCCCTCGGCCTGTGCCCTGCGCAAGCGCATCTGTCTCCACACTGTCTTGAATTTATTTAAGATTTCTCGGTTTTTAGAGGTCTTCGACCTGCTGCTTCACTGCGCAGACGGGATGGCTGTGAGCCGGAGGAGCTTCTTGCAGGTCTCCCATGCGCCAGGTCCTCCTCTGCTGCTGTCCCGGGCCGAGGCGGGGAGCTGGATGGGAAGCGGGGCGGCCGGGATGCGACTGGTGCTCTCACGGGGCGCGGCGCCAGGGTTAGAGGTAGCTTTTTCTTCAGTTTGTGGTTTTTGTTTTGTTTTTTTTACCGTTGTTTGCATAGTTGAGGTGTACACCCTGTAGGGCTCTGATTAGCGTGGGAGGAATATGGCTGCACAAGTGTCTTCACGCCTTTTTTCTGGAGGCCACCAGGGTGCCAGGCTCCCGCGTGGGCAGCTGCCCCGGGGAGGCTCTAAATCACGCGGCCTCTGCCGGTAAGTACCATGCATTGGTCCTTAAATCCCCCTGAAGTCACTGCACACCTGTGAAGCACGACCTCAGTGGTCCCCAATCGCACACATTCACAAACGCCTTCCCAGGAGCCCCCAGTGCCCCCGGGGTGGGGTGTTCTGGTGGCCACACGCAGTACCCACTCCCAGGAAAGACTGACCAGCCCACAAGGCGGGTGGTGCGAAGGGCGGGGTCCCTCCCGCCTCCTGTCCCACTGCGATCGGCCGAGGCCAGCAGGCTGACTCCAGGACATGAGGGGGCTGGTACAGGACAGGACCATGTGGGCCCACCGAGTGTGCAGTGCCAGGGAGGAGCCCCTGGCATCCCCCATGGACTTGGCATGGTGACACGTGCCGTGTCAGATTTACCATATGTTAGGCCACAAAACAAGCATCACACATTTTTTTAAAGATTTGTTTATTTTTATCACAAAGTCAGATATACAGAGAGGAGGAGAGACAGAGAGGAAGATCTTCTGTCCAATGATTCACTCCCTAAGTGAGCGCAACGGCTGGTGCTATGCCGATCTGAAGCCAGGATCCAGGAACCTCTTCCAGGTCTCCCACATGGGTACAGGGTCCCAGGGCTTTGGGCCGTCCTCCACTGCTTTCCCAGGCCACAAGCAGAGAACTGAATTGCAAGTGGAGCAGCTAGAGCTTCAACCAGTGCCCACGTGCGATGTCTGTGTTGCAGGCAGGAGATTAGCCTGGGGTCCGGTGCGGTGGCCTAGCGGCTAAAGTTCTCACCTTGAACACCCTAGGATCCCATATGGGCAGCTCCACTTCCCTTCCATCTCCCTGCTTTTAGCCTAGGAAAGCAGTAGAGGATGGTGCAATGCCTTGGGACTTGGCACCCTCGTGGGAGACCCCGAGGAAGCTCCTGGCTTCAGATCAGCATAGCTCTGGCCCTTGTGGCCACTTCGGGAGTGACCCAGCAGGTGGAAGATCTTCCATTCTCTCTTCCTCTCTGTTAATCTGCCTTCCCAATGAAAAATAAATATATTTTTAAAAATTCTTGTGAAGTTACAAAGATATATGTTAAAGTTTAAAATAAAATCAACAAAATGTGGGACCAAAAGTCATAATTATCCCAAAAGATTCAGCTGCAGTGTCGGAGTCCCAGCTGCCCTGCCTGCCGTCCAGCTCCCTGTAACGCGCCTGGGAGGGCGGGGGCTGGCCCGAGTGGCCGGGCC